CTTTCTTCGAGTGATCCTAAACACTCTTTGTCAATATTCAATCAGTCCAAGTGCATGTTTGTTCGAGCAAAGAAAAATAGCAATGACATTGTCATTACTATTGATTGAACCTAAGGATCCAAATTTACTCAATTGACTTAGAAGAGGGAACCGAGAAAGGAATAGGTAAGTTTAGAAATCATTTGTGATTCACTGGAATATAAACTCTCTAGTCAATAGATTAAATTCTTAAGGTAGTGGTAAACTGGACGAGTTGATCCAAAATCGAAGAAAGAAAGAAAGGGAAGAAATGAAGAGAAGAAGGAAGGAAAGAAAGAAAAAGAGAAAGGGAGAAGAAGGTCGAGATCATGCACGGCCGAAAAAGAGAAAAAAAAAAAGGACAATGGTCGGGTCTAGCCTACCTCGAAAAAAAATAACATATGAATTAAACTAGGTTAGCCCAACCAAAGAAAAAAGAGAAAAAGAAAAAGAGAGATGAGAAAAGAGAGAGAGAAAAAGACTACCTCCGAGTTCAATCTAGATGCGGCCCAATGGGCCCAAAGGGTCCAATAACCTCATTTTTAGCTTTTTTTTCTTAGAGAATCATGCATGAATTTTTTTTTAATATATGCTATTTATTTTCATGCCTAGTTTAAATTGAATTCCTTTGAATTGTTGATTTATTTACTTATTAGTTAATTTGATAGAAATGTTTGATTATTTCGATTTCTTTCAAGAATTAAAATAGATAATTAATCGGTGAATGAATCAACAAGTCTTCGAATTTTTAGAGACTAATGATAATTCTTCCCCAAGATAAAAAAAAATGAAACAAAAACAATAACAAAATAAAAAAAATAATAGGTAAATGAAATAAAAAATATATAAGAAAAAAAAATTCAAAAAAAAACCTAGGTAAGTAATAAATAAATAAAAGAGAGAAAGAAAATCCTAGGTAAATAATGAATAAAAAAATAGAAAACGTTAAAAAAATTAACAAAGTCTCCTATCTAACAAGGACTTATGTTAGCTAAAATTAATCAACTCGGTAATTAGCTAGATTATTCTCCGACATATTGGTTATATCAAGATTTAAAGTGAATCGATGTTGAACTCCCTATAGAGGGATCCGATGATTGATTCAATATGATGCCATAAAAAAAAAAAAAAATCAATTGGCTTAGGAAATAAAACTTGGAATTTTGACTTATGATTAATAATTTTGAAAATAATATAATTTTTAGTGGATAAACTTTAGGATTAAATCGGATGTGGTATCTTTTTTAGAAAAATGTGCTTTTGGGTGATTAATATCTTCACAAATGCATAACCAACTCCTTACCAAATGATCTCCGAATCAACGTCTATTTTAGGTTTACGGTTCCTTTAATATTAGGTGACGATTCTCAAAATTAATAATAACTCACATCCCCAAAAACAACAAAATTTTCAAACCAATCACAAATAAATAATAAATTTTTGAGAGTCTTGCGAATGTCGAGTAGCGATAATTTGTTAAGGATTATTGGAAAAATCCTATTTGAAGACTTTGTGTTTGTATCAAATCGATAAATTAAACCCTTTGTAAATAACTTTCCGAATTAGATTATATGTTCATTATATTTAAGCAATTCAATTAGACCATCCTAGATTCTTAATAATTTTTTTTTAAAAAAAAAAAACAACTACAATCATTTTCTCACTTGGTGAACAATATTTTTTACCCCAAGTTGCAATACTGGCCATTTTTTGAATTTGTTAAAATTCTACTTGTCATATGTCTCAAAATGTTTCTTTTGATCAAAATTTTTAATATTGTAATTTCTTAAAATATTCTTATTTTGTAATTTAGGATTAAATTGAATAAATTTTTTCCTTCAACCAAAAAAGTTATCTTAGGAAAATATTATTAAAACATATGCTGATATGGCATTGATAATAAAAATAATAATTTAAAAAAAAAAAAAAGCTATCATTTTGAAACAGAGGAAGCATCTTATTCTTACAACCGTGAAAACCTATAGTCATTTTTCTTTTTCATGTTTATCTATACCTTTTGGATAACCAATAAGCTAATTTTTGTAGTATATCTTGAAAATATATAATTTAGAGAAAGTGTTATATAGATTATATTCATGGAATCATTTATAAACTAAATCAATTAACATAAAACACATGTGATTACAAAAATAAATAAATAAACTAAAACTATTGGTTAATATTTACTATATTATTTGAAACTCATCAAAGACTTTCGTGGTTTTTGTTGATATTAGTAGCTTTACTAGTTCTTTTGCCTGGTTCTATCTAAAACTGATAGAAATTAAATCTTCCAAATTGAGATGGAGTAGCAACCAGGTGGGTGTCAATCAGCAATATTATGAGCACAAAAATGTGTTTTGAGGCACAGCTTCTGCAACAGCGTTTGAATCCCTGTCTACATCCAATCTCGGTCAAATCAAATCTAATTTTACTCGTTTTTGGTTTAATTCTGATCAAATCGAATAAAATCCGATCCGATTAATCGGAATTGGATGACACCGAATATTCAACGAGTCGGATGAAATTATCATCTCTGTCGATATATCAAATTTCCCTCAATTAGGTCATATTGTCAAATATTCATACCCACGAATAGAAGGACTTAATTGAGAAACACCTAAGTTTGACTTTAAATCGGGTGTTGTTTTCAAAGGTAAGAAAAGAAAGAAAAATTAAAAGGGGAACTTTGTTTCCCCCAACAAATAACCTAATCTTCAATTCCATCCTAAATTAATTAGTTTTATCAATTTCATCTTTAATGGATCAGACGTTGTTTAATTGGGTCCTATGCTGATTATTAATAGTTAATACCCTTGAATGGAAGGACCCAATTGAGAAATGTAAGATACTTGAATGACTCAACTAAGAATATATTTAGTTTAGGGATCTAATTGAGACTTGTGGATAAATTTTTCCAAATCAACACCGAGGATTATTAGCCAAACATAATTGAAGCAGGCCTCCACTACAAATTTATGAATAAAAAATCAATGATTTTTGGTCTTAGGACTTGGAAGGCCAACGGACATCGATGTTATATATATAGCAGGTAGAGAGGTAAATACAAAATTATGTGTTTTTTTATGCTGAATTATTTTCTTTTATAAGTAAAGATTAGTTCCTTTGGTTTTGAAAAATTGAATTAATTAGTTTCTCCATTTAAAAAAAAAAAAGAATATTTTAATCTTTTTGTCTATTTTATGCTCTTTTTTAATTTGTTTTAAAAAATAATAAAAAAAAGAATAAATTGATATTATGGAAAGATAGATAAGAAAAGGAATTTTTTTTTAGAATAAAATTAATATTATTAAATTAAGTGTGTTTAACACTTATCAAAATTTAATTTTTAAAATAAAAAAGTAATTAATTCGTTTCTCTAGCTCGAGGGACTTTTATAATTTATAAATATAATTAATAAGCAAAATTTAAATAATTAATTTTTAAAATAAAAAAATGAATTAATTCGTTTCTCTACCTCGAGGGACTTTTATAATTTAATCTTTCTAAGAGGTTTTGCATTTTGCTAATTAATGCTATTTATTAACAACGAACAGAACGAACGGACAAAAGGCAGAACATGGAGTAAATTATAAATTAATCCCTCTAGTTTTAAGAGGTAAATTAGTTAGTCCTTTTTTAAAAAAAATTATTATTTAATCTTTTAATTAGTATTAATCATATTTAATTTAATATTATTTTTATTTCACAAAATCTCTTATTTTATCATCAATTTTTTTATATTTTTTTCCTTTTTTTTTAAACAAAAAATCAAAATAAATTTATAAATAAAAAAATTAAATTATAAGTAAATTTCAAAACAGAAGAAATAAATAATTAATTTTTAAAATGATAAGAAATAATTTATTTATTTTTGGAAATTAGAGAGACTAATCTATAATTTAATCCAGAACATATGATGGATGAATTGCCCATAGAGCACTTAGCTGTATCTGCCATCTATACACGTGTTTTTTTTTTTTTTTTCCAAAAGATAGGAAAAGAAAGAGAAATTAAGAGCGGAACTTCATTTTCATCCCCAATAACAACCTGATTTCCAATGTAAACCTAAACATATTAATTTTATCACTTTCATTTGGGATGTATCAAATGTATCTTAATTAGATTGTAACCTTGAATGTTAATTCCCATGAATGGAAGGACCCAGTTGAGAAATGTATGAGTGCAATTAAAAAAATATTTAGTTTAGAGACTTAAATGAGATTTGTGGATAAGTTTTCCAAACAGATATAATTGAAGCAAGTTTCCACCACAAAATTATGAATTAAAAACCAATGGTTGTTGGTCTGCACTGGACACGGATGTGGACATGTGGTGTATATCTATACGCTTGGCAAATAACAAAAGAGATAATTGGATGATAAGTATACTAACTTTCACTCTTTTTATAATTGAATACATAAACTTTAATTTTTTTTTAAATACACTAATTTTTCAAAACTACTAATCAAGAATTTTCCATTCAACTTTTATCAATTGCTTAATTATTTGATAACATATCCTTTACACTAAGCTAGTAAATTATAATTTTGTATTTTTTTATCTTTCGGGGTATTTCGATTTAAAAATTCGAACTAATTTCTCGTTGTTCTATAAAACGTATAAGACGAAAACAGTTATTCAGAGAATTTTTTATATACAAAAAAAATTAATATGCTCGAATGATTTATATCATCAATTAATAACATTAAAAATTAGTCCACTTATCATGCAATTATCCTAATAACATAACAAAAGGACACTTTATATTTGTAGAATAGAAATGGGCTCAAATTATAAGCAAATCGTTCATACCCACATCACATTTTTCATCACACCAGCACTCCTAACTTGTATCATCTCTTATCAAATACCAATGTGACAAGATAAAATACCGTAAGAAATACATGAAACCACACAAATTGAGCCTAGGATATTTTCATCAATCCCATGTTGCCACGCAAGCTAGATTTTCGAGGACATTAAGGTTTGGATCCCTTAACCACAGTAACTGGACATGAAGCATTTGTCACCACATAGTTGCTAACACTCCCAAGCAACACCCTGCAATCATCATAGTTGAAAATCGATGTTAATTACTAGAAAATTGATTCACCATGTCCTCGTATATAATACAATGAGTTTATAATATGTTTTATATTTTTAATTCAGTTAATTTTATCTCTTTAAAATAATTGAGTTTTTAATCTATATTTTGTCAATAATTTAGTCATTTATTATAATTTTTCAATCCTCAAAGTTTTTATAAAAAACAAATTTGTCCCTATTTTTTAAAATCTATGCAATCATGTCCTTACATGTTATTTTTTAATTAAAATTCCATGCATGATATGTGTTACGCATTAAAAAATAGACACATCACATCAGTATCATATCAATTTACAACTAAAAATAATCTCAATAAAAAAAAAAACAACGTTTCATTATAAATAATACAAAAGGTAAAAAATCTAAATATGGAAAATCATTTGTTTGTCAAGTACTTTGCATATGACTAATATATTCATAGAGTTTAGGATCGGTTTTAACATAATATTTAATAATATCCAAAATTAATTTAATTAATTTGGATCGAAAAAAAAGTTATCAGAAAGATATAAAGAAAAAAATAGATAGATTAAAAACTCCATCATTTTATAAAAATAAAAATGATTCATTTCCTTAATGTTGAGGATATAAAGTAAGATTAAAAACTCATCTCCTCATATAAACACCAACTGAACCATTTTTTCTTTGTTTTGTTTTGTTTATGAACACAAATTAGTTGAGAGAATTACTTTTCAGCATTAAGAATAAAAAAGAGGGAAATTGATTTGCAACTTGATCTGGTGTTGCAATATTCAGGCTAATCTATGGCCGGAATTTTTGATAAATCGGCCATAGACAATAAGCTAAACGTGACTCAAGAAAAAAGGAGAAAAAGAATTCCACAAAAAAAAGTTCTTTAGGTTTGATTAATGACAAGAAAAATACCTTTTGATAGCACCTAAACCCCTGCTTCCAATAACCAGAGAATCCAACTTCAGATCATCCACAGCATCGATCAACTTCTCCCTTGGATCCCCCCAGTACACCTTTGCCACCACTTTTGCCTGTAAAATTACTCAACGAAAATGAAAACATCATTTTGACAGGAGAGAAAAGCAGATTGTAAAAAGAATACATAGATCAAAAGATCAGATCGTACTTACCCCTCTGGTTCTTGAAACTGTGTCAAGAATATCAAGAACTTCAGGATCATAAGTCAGCCCATATTGCTTCGAAAAATTTATCTCCCTGAATTCCTCCAGTGGCACTAAAGCTGAAATCCCAAGAAAAAGAGCAAATAAAATTCATGAATTTTACTGTGCAAGATCTTGAATTTTCAGGGCAAGAAGTAGCAGTAAAAGTTGGAAAAAGCACTTACGTGATCCAGTGTCCTCAAAAAGCTGCTTCCTGGTATGGTCAGCTTTGGGAGGCTGAACTTGGATAAGAATAATTCGATCTCCTTCGTCTATCAAATTCTCAGCTGCCCAACGCAAGGCTGCTTTGCTTGTCGAGGAGTAATCCATGCCAATACCAACCGTACGTGCTTTTGCCATCTCTAAAATGCTCACTTTCTCTGAAAGAAAGAGTTGCTGCGCCTGTATTTATGGGAAGTTAAACGGTCAGAATCTGAAATTCTTTCTGGCTTTTGATTCTGTATTTATAGAGCAGATGAGGAGGTTCTTGAAGCTGCTAGTAGCATGTAAAAATCAAACTTGGAACAAGAACAGTAACCCTTTATTCTTTCTTGATAAAGACTTCGGACATAGGGGACGAATTTAGCATCAGTAAAGGTTACTACAGTAGTGCCAGTTGCCTTCCTAAAGGTTTGTCTTCTTTGTAATTATGGACATGCCTAGGTTAAATTTGTCCTTCAAAAACATATTCAATTTTATTTTTTATGGTAAATTAGATTCGTACGCATATCATGATCGATATTTTTCTGAATAATTTATTTTAATTGAAAGTTAAATTGTAAAGTATAGGCATTACGGTTTACAGGTTGAGCTATAGCTATTGAGAATAAAATTTTTATAAACTTTTTATTTCTACCATAGATAGCTCGTTTTTCACCGAAATCAAAGACATGAACTTAATTTTCAACCTGCGAAGATTCCAAACTAAGTACCACTAAAATTGAGACTAAGTCCACATTTTTATTTTTTGAGGTGAAAGTCAGCATTATAATGCGTCTAATCTAATGCCACTTAAAAATGATTATGACTAATTATTCGTAAATAATGAGAATTAAATCTTGATTTTGATCAAATTAAATCAGTCCTCTAATCGTTAGATCATATCTCATGATAGTGTGCAAAAATTGACTTTCTTTTATATATATAGTAAGATATTTTGAGTCAATTTTTATATTAATTGAAATTAAGTTTATCGTATTTTCAATTAAATCGGTGTCGAATAAACTTGATATTTAATTGACTATTGAACAGTCTTCCACATCAAATCAACTCAAACATAATGCCATTAAAATCGAGACTAAATTCATCATTCTTCAAGTTAAATCAGTTTCAAAATGCATACAATCCAATATCATTAAAAAATAATTATAGCTAATAGAAATAGAATTTTAATCTCTGTCAAATCAAATTAATTTTTTTATTTCTAACCCACATCTTTTGACATTGTGCGAAAATTGACTTTAAAGATATTATTTGGCTATGAAAATTAAAAAAAAAAAAAAAAAAGAAGAAAAAAATCTTAAAAAGAGAAGGATCTAAATCAAGTCATGCTCTTATAACTAGCTAGGCCATGTGTTGCTAGATATCTATAGTGTTGTCTATTTCCATTGAGAATGTTTAATAATTAATTTGTTTTAACTCATCATCATGCTTCCATAAAATAATTGTGTTACTGTTTTTTTATTGGATTGAATACGAGGAGCGATTATGCTGGTCTTCAAAGTAAGGAATCTGAAGATGACAGCCCCCACCTGTTCTGATTTCTCTCTTGCACGTAGACAAATCATGCTCTTCCTCTTGTATATATATATATATATAAACGCGTAAGACATCCCAACAAGCAATTGGTTTGGAGCATTTTTTAGACCAAGTTGGACAGTGATCATTTATTTGTAATTAAGAACATAAAATTCTTGCAATGAATGATTGTAGCTTTGGAAAAAAGAAACCGATTAATTTTTTTATTGTACCAAATCATTCATGTATTTATAAATTTGGATGAAATTTAGATTTTATAACATATAGAATTATTTTTTACATGAATCCATTTGATTTTTGCTCCAATCAAATGATGACAAATTATAATGTCTGCTTTCAACATCTGTCCAACGTTGTTGTCTTCTCATCTCAAAGGTTACCATTCAATTGCCGAGCTGCATTATTGGATGACAAACTAAGCTTATATAACTTTCTCCCTGATTAAGTTTGACTCTAATGGATAGATCTTTGGAGATTAATTTCGAATAACTCTATTAGTAGTTGATTTTCTTTTTTTCTATTGAAAAATTTGCTGTCTTTTAGTAAATTTCAGGAAACTTTACTGTAATTTCATTTCAATGATTTGGGCTTCTTTTATTTCTTATCCTATTTTCTGTTAGGCTAAGTTGGTTTATCCTTTCTTATTTCTTTTTATGTTCTTTTTAATAAATCTCGGGATACCGCTCCTGTTAAAAAAAAAAAAAACTTTATTTGAATAATCTTATATTAAGAGTTAAATTGACTTAAGGAATGGATTATAATTATTAACGAGAATCAAAATGGTCAAATGATCTTTTATATATTTTTCTAATATTAATTCTAGATAATATTACATGTCGATCCTAGAACCATTAATGATTGGTCAATATGTTAATCGATTAAAAATATTGCTTTAATAGTATTTTTTTTCTCATATTTCAAACAATATTCAATAACGTATTAGGTATTTTTAATGATTTTGGCACCTGTGAAATTATTAACAATACTTTTTTTTTTTTTTTGAAGAATGTGAATGAATTTCAAAACCATTTTATCGTCAAGTTGTGGCGCAATTTTTTTTTAATTAGTAGCATAATGGCTTTTTCACTACTTTGGAACAACGTTACTTAATCATAAACCTTGACTCTATGTCTTTTTTCAAATTCAATGAATTTGAGTGATAAAATAACTAATTAGCACTAAAATGATTACTAGGAAAGCAGAATTAATTACAGGAGCTGGTAAGTGGTATCTCGAGACTAATGACCGAAACCAATTCAAAAAGTCTCATGGTATGTTCTTTTTAGACTATAGTTGTTGACCCGGCTCGAGACACAATTTCAAGTCGTTAGGCAAATCTACCGGTTTTTTTTTTAAAAAAAAAATAAAAATTCAAAAGGACCAAATAATTAAAAAAAAAATCAATTTTTAATTTTAATTTTGACTCAATCAGGTTTTGATGGAGTCTTGGCCAGATGTTTGGATCAATCCGAAGTTTGATCAGATTAATGACCTAAACAACAAAATTTAAAACTTCATTTTTTTTCCTTACGTTTTGTATGATCGGATTTCGACTTAATCTGCAGTCTAGCTTAGGTTTGTATGTGCACTCTATTTTTGGTTAATCACACTCCCACTCGAGATTGTAAATGAATCGAATTTTTATCCAAATTTGATGAATAAATTTTTTATTCGAATCCGATTATGATTTGAACACGTTATCTCGTTTATTAAATGGATGAAATTTGGATCTATCTTTGATTCGTGTAATAATAATCCAATCTGAAATTACAATAATACTTTTATAATATTTAAATTTAAATATGAAATTAGGTTGAGATTTAAATTTTATTTATTATAAATTTTAAATAACACATTTTCTTTCACAATTACGATTGTATCTTCAAAAAAATCACATATAAAATTTTTATCATTCTCTTAATTCAATTTCATATATATATATTGGTGTTATTATACTCTATTTTTTCTACCATGTAGGCAAGAAATAAAAAAAAATAGTCTTATCGTACTTCCTACCTAGTTCTAGACAAAATTTTATTAAGATTATTTGATTTTGTGCTTTAGAATTATGTGGCATTTTGGATTTTTTACACAATCGATAAATGAAATATTATCTTAATATATACTTTTTATATATATAGTGGTAAAAAAATATTTTATATTCGAGCAATATATGAAATATGATAAGAATAAATTTTCTACAAAAACCAAATAATAAATTCGATAGAGTTTCAAATCCGATTTGAGTCCGTTAGAATCCATATCTAATTTTATATTTTCAACATCCGATTTGGATTTATAAGATTCGATCCGATCCGATCCATTTAACTAAACAAATCGAATACGAATCTATTATGATCCGAACTGAATTGCACCTGTTGATAACCTTACTCTTATTCATCCATTTTTTTGTATGAAGTAAGTAAAATATTCTCTGAAAAAGTTAAAGCATACCCAATATGGTTGTCTTCGAAACTTAACTTGTGACTTTTTAAATAAAGAGTAAACTATAATTACAAAGTGGTAATCTGTTAATAAGTAAACGTCAATTTATAAATCAAATTTAAGATTCGATTATTATGATCAATACTTTTGAAAATTTATTTTTAGAATAACCAAAGCTATGTGTTGAAAATTTTCAAAATAATCGAGATCATGTATTGAAAATTGTTTAAAGTATGTGAAAATTGATTCAAAAACATTATTATTGTTCTTACAGCTGAACCAAAAAAAAAAAAAATGAAACGTCAACGATGCTTATCATATCTATATCTAGGTTGTTTCGTTTTCCCTTGCACCACAACCTTAACTAACAATGATGATAAACCAAGGTACCCATCTCCACCGCCGGTCCCCTCCATCTTTATCTGACTCGTTTTCAAATCTTCCTATTAAAATCGTCTTCCATAAACGCCCTTATTCCTTTATTGCCTTCGTACTTTTGAGATTTTTTTTTTTTTTAAGTAAATAGCTTAATATTTTTATATAATAACATAAACCTTCAATTTATTCTGATGTTTGTAATTACATCTATTATATTTTTAAATATTATTTAATTTATAATTCTGATTAATTTTTTCAACTATGAGCAAAATATTTTATCGAAATTCTCCTCATTAAAATGTAAAAATAAAACATACAGATAATGTGACTTTAAATATTTATTTATTTTTATTTTTACTTTCAATTAGAAGCATTTTGGTATAAAAAAATTTTATTATTGGGAGAAATTGATTTGAAGAACATGTTGGAGACTTAAACATTATTCGAGGACATAATAAATATAATTAAAAATATAAAAATAAATTAAAAACTTATTGTATTATCCAAGAACAGATTAAAAATTCATAGTATTATACAAGTACAGATTGACTTGTTTATTATTATTTTCTTTTTAATAATTGAGCTCGTGCTATTAAGGGAAGTAAATTGGATAACCGAGAATTATAATTTTACCAGAAAAAAAAAAAAAAAAGGCAAACAAAATGAGGACCTGGGACTGGTAAAGGAAAAGACTCTAAAAAAGTTTACACCGACAGAAGCTTCCTGATGAGGCATGATGCTAAAAGCAAAAAGGTTTCCAAGTAACATCAAGAAAAGAGATATTTATCGTCTTAGGCAATTTGTCAAACACACAGCAAGCATATCTCATTTCTAGTTCCTTGTTTGCGTTTAACTATGAAACTAACTCCAAATTAACTTATTTAGTGAAGCAAAGTTCGAATCTTGTAATTTTAAGATTTTTTTTTTTTTAGAGAAAGACTACTTTCTATTGTGTAATCCAACAACTCATGGATATCCCAAAAAAAAAAAAAAAAAAAAAGAACTATGGAACTCGGTCAACTGACTCACCTCTGGTATGTGTTCTCCAGGTTATGGAATTTTCTTGTGATCTGCCTTGTTAATTATTGGGCTTAGTGGCATTCTGAAATCTCAATATCGGGTCAGTACAGAAGCTGGTGCTGTAGCAATCTTGTCCATTGGGATCTTATGGAAAGCATTAATTTACTACTGACCAAAAAATAAACTGACATTTTCCATGAAGAAGAAGAGGCATTGTAAATGCCCCAATAAATGATGTGATGTGGCTGCTTGTAAAATCTATGTATAAAAACCATTTAAATGTTAATATTTGTTTTAATCAAGTCCTTGTAACATAAATGGTAAACAAAAAGAAAATAAGAGTACGAAACTACAAAATGCAGGGAAAGTTTTCGAATTAATTTCTTGCATAGAGTTGTTAATGAATCAGATTTCGACAGAAATTAAATCCAAGTCTGATGCAATTAAATAGATCTGGTATGTAATTTTTATTATATAAGTTTGATTGTAATTTGAATTAGTATGTTAAATAAATTAAATATGAATTTATCTTGATCCGATCTGATAAAAAAAAATTAATCTGAAATTAAAATTATTATTGTTTTTAATAAATATAATAATTTGAAAAAAAAATATAAAAATAAAAATAAGAAGAAAAAATATGGCACTAGGTTTAGATTTAGGGTTTATTTACTCTAAATGATAAATAACGTTAAGTACTTGCGTTTTCTTATATATATATATATATATATATATATTGATAATTATTCTTTCAAAAATCAAATAATTACATGATAAGGCTCAAATTAATTTTTATAGAAAATCCAATAAACATATGAAAAAAATTAATTAATGAGTCTTATTGATATTATATTTGTATTTCCAATTTATAACATTTTGATCCAATCTGAATTTTTATCTATTTAAACATGCTTTTTATAAAACAATAGGATTTCTATTCATATCCATCAATTTATGTTCTCGTGTAGGTGTTTTTATTATTTTTCTTAAGCTTTGTTCTTGCGTAATTTAAATTAATTTTTAACTTTAATATAAATTTTTATTAGAATTATGTGATTTTATTTTTTTTTAATGGTGAAACCTTTTCATTTATTTATTTTATTGACATATGAAGTATTATCATATCGTATTTTTCTTATACACGTAGTAGTTGAAACTCATTTCAGAGTGGAATTTGATTTTAAACATAACCAACACTTAAAAAAATGAATGATGAATCATTTAGATATCCAAATCCAATCCTAACCCGTTAGAATTTGGATCTGGATCCATAACGACAAATGAAAAATCCAATTCAAATTGATCAGATCTATTTCGATCCGTTTTATTAAACAAATTGAATCTGAATCCTACTAGTTAACAATCTTATTATCAATTTATTAAAAAAAGAAATTCGTCAATATAATATTTTGAATGTAAATGATCTAGTGAAGATCCAATCAACAAAATTGAATCTTAATAAACGAAATTCTTGTATAAAAATAGATGGGCTGTTAAAAAAAAAAAAAAAGTTTCATCATACTATGAAAAATATTTGAGAACATGAAAGTTAAAGGTGCAGTGCATTAAAGCTCAGGATCCAAGGCTTATCTTATTCATGGCCCTGTGGAATACAATCAGCTGAAAATGAAATCTAGCAAATGTCTTCTAGCGCATGTCTCGGTAATAAAAAAAATCCAACTAAAATTTTATTAAATAAGCAGTTGTCTGTTCTTGTGAGGGATCCAAAACCACCAAACTTGTAGCTATTGAATTTTTTCTCAATAAAAAATAATTAATTATTCCTTCTTGTTCAAAAATTAATTCTTTAATTCTTTAACCAATGATGATTAGGTTTAATTTAATATTATTTTATTTCAAATGACTTGGTTTTTCTGATAAGTTCTTTCATATTTTTTTACTTTTTCTATTTCCAATAACAAAAAGTAAAAAAAATTGAAAAAAAAAGAAAATGATTAAGTGAAGAGAAAAATTAAAAATATAAGATTAAATAATTAATTTTTGAAATAAAAGGGACTAATTTAACTAATTTATTAAATCTAGTGGGGCTAATTTATGATTTACTAAAAAAAAAAAAATATGGACCAGAAGGATGAATCCGGCCAACCTTTATGCCTGTCTGTGGAGTAGCATTTTGGTTGACGTCTAGCTAGGTTTGGTGAGTTGTAGAGTCATAATGCTTTGCATCTAACCATTGATACACCTTCAAATTAGGATTGTCCCTTAATTCCCACTCTTCATATAGTTTTATGTATACACTAACAACCAGGATGCGAATCTATTCAAGTTTTTATTTAAAAAAAAAAACAAGAAAGAATCAATAAATTATTGATCAATGATAAACGAATTAGTTTTTAAATAAAATTTTTGTCAATATATCGAATTCAAATTCTAAAATTGTATTTGCTGGGAAGAAATATATTACTACCGTTATAAATATAATTAATCTTATTTTAATCATAAGATAAGATAAGAATACCCAAATAAAATTAGATAAAGAGAGAGAAATTTGTCCCAATTCCAGAACCAATCTCCTCCTTTTCTTAAGGATGATGAGAATAAAATGGTTGGTCGAACTAAACAAATGTCATGGGAAAAGGGGACGCCACATGGATGATTGGATTCACGTTGCAAGGTCATGATTTATAGACAATCTCTCAAGTTTGGACGTGTGAACGACTTGTATTAAATTGATACCATTTAATTTTCATGCAAACAAAAGAATTCAAATCAACCATATATTTTAAAAATTTATTATACCAAAAAAAAACTTTATATTTTTAATCTTATTAATGCGTTTTCTTTAATATTAGATTAAAAAAAAATACACTAACCAACCTTTTATTAATTGTATTAACAAGCATGACTTTTTTTAGCCAAAATTTCATTAATATTTGATGTGGCAAAGAATTTTTGCTTTTGTTGTCAGTTTTTTTCCTACCATGTCAAATATCAACAGAATTTTGAAAAAAAAAATTACGCATGCTAGTATGATTAACAAAAACTTAATTTATGTATTTTCTGTTTAATATTAAAAAAAATATACTAATATAGTTAGAGAGTATAAAATTCATGGTTTTTTTTTTATACAATAAGTATATTTTAAAAAGTTTTTGTTATTAATGGTAATTGATTGATTGTAGATATGTGAGAAATTTTATGACCTCAAAAATTACTTCATGCTAGAGAAATAGACAAAAAAAAAAAAGAAATTAATTAAAAAATAAGCATATTTTTATTACTTTTAATGAATTTTAAAATTATTATTTACCAAAATATTTACCAAAATATAGTAAATATTGATCATTTCTTTATTATTATTTTAAAATTTCTTCTCAAAATCTTATAAGATCTAGCATCTCCATAACCAAGTGAGGTTTGGCATATTTTGATGGGGCTAATCAAAGAGAGTAGAGGTTTAGTTGAAATAAAAGCTTGTAAAAACCTAACTTCGTACCTAATTGGAAAGAGAAATGAATATGCTTTATCATATGGAAAAATATTTTTGAGAAAATATTTTTTGTGGATGTATTAATTTAAACGTAAATAAACAATTTAAGATTAAAGATTAGCCTGGTTATGCAAAAGTTGAAAAATTCTTACCTAGAAAGGGGAAAAAAAAAAGGCAAATAACTTAATTTGTCATTATATAATTATAATATGAGTCTCAATTTTGTCCTTACATTCTTAATTACATATATTATTTTCTTAAATAATGTTTAAGTTTCTAATTTATAATTTCAATTATAAATAAGTTTTTTTAACTAAAATACTACTAACTAAAATAAAAAAAAATCTAAAGAATTTTAACAATAAAAATGAAGGTCATTTGACTTTTTGTTTTTATTTTTTTAATCAAAAAATTTGTTTATAGTTAGAAAAATTAATTAGAATCACAGATTGAAAACTGAATATTATTTAGAAATAAAATAAATATAATTAGAAACATAGGGATAAATCGAAGACTGGAGATATATATAAAGATACATTAAGTAATTTTTTTTTAAAAAAAAAACCTTAAAACATTAGAATTCCAAAAACGACCTCAATGAGAATTTTGTTAAAATATATATATATATATTCTCACTTCCCATGTGTTAACTAAAGGTAGGCCTCTATTGACACGGAGGCACAACCTCCAGAAGTTCCCAAATTTATAACTCTTCCTTCTTTCCGTCTTTCCTCGATCCAACTCTCTATGCATCTGTGAGATACAGTGAGAGAAAGAAAATGGAGATGAAACTACTACTATCTTGTTTGTCAGCATTTATTCTGATCTTATGCAGTGTAAATCATGTTAGATCAGATGCGTCTGATCATCGTTACAAGCCTGGAGATGATGTCCCTCTTTATGTCAACAAGGTCGGACCTTTTCACAATCCCAGGTAATTTATTTCTCTTCAATTTTGGAATTCAATTCTTACACTTTTACTGCTGTAATTTTGTGGGGTGTCTTCAAGTTTGTGATTTTTTGATGATTTGGGAAGATGGGGTTTCAGGGATTTGGATTAGAAATGAGCTTGTGGAGTTGGATTTTGGGGGATTTGGTTTTAGCATTAATGGGTCTGATTTTAAAGAACCCATGATTTGGTTTTTGTTCTTGTTTGTCGGTTTCTTTAATTTGTGTGGATCTGAGCTAATGTGGAACTGGATCCGTGATTTGGTTTCCTGTAAACGAAGATCATAGATTGGAAATTGAACATGGTATGGATATAAGTCAGTGATAATTAAGTTGGGAATCTCGTTTTGGTCAATGATCATACTAGGAGTTGATTGAGTGGGCCATGTTATGCTGAGGAGATGTTTTGTTTAGTGACATTTTGCAAACAAAATTGTTTACATTCGCAGATCTTTAAGCGAAGAGAAAACTGTCATCATTAGTAAAATTGTGCCAGAATTTTGTTGATGTTTTTTCTATTCTACTCAAAATTTCATGTGTTATGTGAATGTTGCTTGGCTTTAGAAGTCTTGGCTGGTAGCAAATTGGATTAGTTCTAATTAGATTGGAAACTTCTTTAATACTTGAAACATTTTAAATATTTCTTTCTAATGCTATTTCTTTCTTTTACTTTCTGACAGTGAAACATATCGCTATTTCGATCTTCCTTTCTGTTCATCAGGTTGGTATTAATCCTTATTAATATTCTTGCTTTCAGTGCTTATATTTTTACTGTGGAAGTTCACTGACGATGTTTAATACAGGTCCCAGAAAGGACAAGAAGGAAGCCCTTGGTGAAGTGTTGAATGGAGATCGTTTAGTCACTGCCCCATACAAACTTGACTTTTTAAATGACAAAGACTCAGAAATTGCTTGCAAGAAGAGGTTGACAAAGGAGCAAGTTGCTCAGTTCCGAGAAGTAGTTTCCAAGGACTACTACTTCCAGATGTATTATGATGACTTGCCCATTTGGGGTTTCTTGGGGAAAGTTGAAAAGGAAGGCAAAAATGACCCTAGCGAATACAAATATTACCTCTTTAAGCATCTTCACTTCACCATCTTTTACAACAAGGATCGCGTCATTGAGATCACTGCACAATCTGATCTGAACAATGTTGTAGACCTGACTGAGGATAAGGAAGTTGATGTGGAGTTCATGTATTCAGTTAAATGGAAGGAAACAGAAATTCCTTTTGAGAAAAGGATGGAGAAGTATTCGCAGTCTTCATCACTGCCTCATCACTTGGAAATCCATTGGTTCTCAATTATTAACTCATGTGTGACAGTTCTCCTGTTGACTGGTTTTCTTGCCACAATTCTCATGCGAGTCCTTAAGAATGATTTTGTCAAGTAAGGATATATTTATGCTCATTTATTAAATCATGCCTGCTTACACTGTTTAAAATTTCTTAATTTCTACATTTGCTGATGCTTCCATTATTAACAGGTATGCACATGATGAGGAGTCGGCTGAAGACCAAGAAGAGACTGGATGGAAGTACATCCACGGCGATGTATTTAGATACCCAAAGTATAAGTCTGTACTTGCGGCAGCAGTTGGTTCTGGTACCCAGCTGTTTACTCTGTAAGTTTAACTTCAAAGCTGTGCCTTCAGTGGTTTTGTATTCTTTTTTTTTCTTTAATTATTGCCTGTTACTGAGCAATCTGCTAACTTTGTATATATATGTACTTTGCCAGCACAATTTTTATTTTCTTGCTCGCACTAGTTGGTGTGTTTTATCCTTATAATCGCGGAGCTCTTTTCACTGCACTAGTTGTCATATATGCCCTTACAGCTGGAATTGCTGGCTACACTGCAGCCTCTTTCTTTTGCCAACTGGAAGGAACAAACTGGGTAGGTGATCATGAATTTCTTTTTCACTGCCTCTTGCACACATCATTTTTGGGCATGCCCTTGACACTTGTTATTGCTGTGCCTCTGTGAGGTTAATGTTTTCGGATTCAATTTCAGTACGCATGCATATTGGAATTTTCAATGTTTCGTCAAAATGTGTTTGGTTTTGGGATCAGTGCAAAATTGGTGTAAGTGTGTGTGTGTGTGTGTGTGTTGGGGGGGGGGGGGGGTGAAAAACCACCTAATGCTGGGTAAATTGTTTTCCCTAGAGAAAGAACAGAGTACTTGAAAGTTGATGGTTTACTGCTGCCTGAAGGCTTGCAGTAGATTTGAAAAAGTGATTTTGAGAAGTCAATAAACTAGAGATCAACACTTCAGAGTTGCAGTTGAATATATCGGATTAGGATTATTTAATGCTAGACGTGGATATACGAGTACAATTGATTACTTTATGCTGGTTGTGGTTTTTCTGAAGACTAACATGTATTGCATTTGTTGGTTTTATGATATTGATATTAATTAGTCATCATTATAATGATGCAAGTTTTTTTTTTTTTTTGTTGGGATTGTTGGAATTGTGATCCTATTTTGTATAATTGCAACATTTCTAGCTTTACTCTAGAAAGTACAAACTACCATTCGGCTTCTGAGACATGCTGGGCTTAACAGTTCTGAAATTTTGTTGTTACAGGTCAGAAACTTGTTATTAACTGGAAGCCTGTTTTGTGGACCACTGTTTCTCACTTTCTGCTTTCTTAATACTGTTGCAATCGCTTATAGTGCCACTGCAGCGTTGCCATTTGGAACGATTGTGGTGATTTTTCTTATTTGGGCTCTGGTGACAACACCATTGCTGGTTCTGGGTGGGATTGCAGGGAAGAATAGCAAGGCTGAGTTTCAGGCTCCTTGCCGCACCACTAAATATCCCAGAGAGATTCCTTCTTTGCCTTGGTATCGGAAATCTCTTCCTCAGATGGCCATGGCAGGGTTCTTGCCTTTCAGTGCAATCTATATTGAGCTTTACTACATATTTGCCAGTGTTTGGGGTCACAGGATCTACACCATATACAGCATCTTGTTCATTGTCTTCATCATTCTCTTGATTGTCACTGCTTTTATAACAGTGGCATTGACATATTTCCAACTTGCTGCTGAAGACCATGAGTGGTGGTGGAGGTATGTTTTAGTGTTAGATCAAAATAAAAGTTTGAGTATAAAAGGTTAATATCTCTGAGGTTATCGGTTCACTTTTCCATCATTATCAGTACAAATAAAATATCTGAGGTTCACAAACATTCTTTAATGTTCTTTTTTAACTTAGTTAATTTTGGCATTTCTTTTTTATGCTTTCTCGATCATGAGATCTTATCTAAATTGCTGGAAATATCTGAGTCATAAAGTAAATTTTGGCATAATTTTAGTGCCCTCTCCTAGCCTGCTTCTTTTTTATCCTTTGCTTGTACTTATATAATGTCGTGTTTTAAAAAGATACTCGATTGCCTGACATATGTTGCTAGACACTCACATTTTTATGCTTGGTGTTTCTTAGGTCTTTCCTCTGCGGTGGATCAACTGGCTTGTTCATTTATGGCTATTGCTTGTATTACTACTTTGCAAGATCAGATATGTCCGGCTTCATGCAAACCTCATTTTTCTTCGGCTACATGGCCTGTGTTTGTTATGGTTTCTTCCTCATGCTTGGAAGCATCGGTTTCCGTGCTTCCTTGTTCTTTGTCCGCCACATTTACCGCTCAATCAAGTGCGAGTAGGAAGTCATACATTCTTCCTTATCTTCAGTGAGTAGGCTCCCTTCCTTTCTTTTAACATGCTCTATAATTGAAGGAAACTCTCCACGTTTGTATTGATTAAGGTAGTCTTATAACGTGTCGCATTACAGGAGAAGCAACAGTTGGCTGGGAAAATGTGTTCTAGGATCGCCCAAGCTATATTCCACTGCTTTGGAGGATGATTGCACATTACATGGAGGACTTTTGTAATAATTTTTTTTCTTTTTTCGAATAGGAGAGGAACATGTAGGACTTTAGAATGCTCTGTTAAAGAATTTGTGGTGCTTAAATGCAAGCACAGGCCATCGTTTTGATTGTATTCTATAACTGTTAGAAGCCTGAGAATTTGCATCACTGGTAGCAGCACTTTGAAAATTCTTATTTCTTCAATTTATTACAGCTGCAAAATATATATTCTATCATTTATTTGCCCCATGTTTGTATCTTGTTCGAGCCTTCGTGGGGGAATATGACTACTCATGTTTCTAGTCTCACTGTTCTTGTTGCAATCATCTAGATTAGGTGAGAAAAAAATGTCGAGTAATTTTATCTTTGTCCTTTTTAAACTGCAGTAAAATCTTTAGATTCAACCAAAAAAGACAGAAAATTCAACCAAGTTGTAAACATTTTATCATGCATACCTACAGCATTGGCAGACAACCATGGTCTGTTCTAAAACCCACAAAAGATTTGTAATAAGATGTAAGAAGTGTAGTTTAAGTCTGATGGCGTGATCTAAGAACGGAACTATGTGTGAAAGGTGGGCCTATGGCTCTTTAAATTTTGAAAAAGTTTACATTTTAGTCCTATAATTTTGGAAGTTTTTAATTATACTCTTTAATTTTACATGTTTCACATCCTAAAAAATAAAGTATTTTATTATTTAGTAAAGTATCAATTAGTTCGTCTCATTTGGAGAAATAAATTAATTAATCTTTCTTGTTTCAAAAACTAATTTAGTCTCTTATATTTTAATTTCGTCAATAACTTAATCATTTCATCAACGTTTCTATGAAAGTAATGATGAGGTATTTTTATTACGGTATTCTTTTATTCTCAAATTGCTCTTCTTTTTATGCATTATTACTTTTTTTTTTACATTTAACTCTTTTCTATCTCTCCCGTCAAATAGGAAAATAGATTTTTATTTTTCTTTTCAAATCTTCACTTCTTATTTTATTGATCTTCGCTCTTTTTATTTCTCGTCAAGTGCTCAAGTGCCAAAACATATTTTCATAGATGATTGTATATGTTAAAAGTGTAATTTAAGTATTATCTATTAAGTTAACTAATATAATGAACACTAAACGGCATGAAATTAAATGATTAGTTTTTGGAAAAGAAAAAAACTAATTGATTCGTTTTTTTTTTTTTTTTTCAGAATGAGAGAGACTAATGTATAATTTACTCTTTCTTATTGCCTCTCCGATCCTAAATTTCTAGTTCTGTCTCTACTATAATGGGTGTGTCAATATAACAACATTTTTAGAATAGTCTCAAAATAGTTGGATACAGTAAAGAAGAGAAACCTGGAATTTTGAAAGAACTATGTGAGCAGAAAACTGGCAAAACAGGACATTGATTGCATAGCAAAAAGAAGAACAGAGATTTGTATGAAAAGAGCAGAGCAAACCTTCATCATGTAAGTATGTAACCGCTAATTAGGTCATTTGCGTTCTTAACACACAAAGTGATTTTCTTTCCTTTTTCAGGAATTTGACCTCACCAGCTGACCTAGCTACATGCTTCCACTGCATGGTAAATAACTACTTCCTCTGGTCCTCTCTCTCTCTCTCAAAAAATAAAAAATAAAATAAAAAATAAAAATAAAAATAAAAATAAATTTGTTTTCTATTTTTGTTTGTCTCGAAACATTTCTTTTCGTCAAAATATTAAGTACGTATTTTTTTATAATATCTCTGATTATCTATTTTATAAGAGACCTACCGTTAAAATAAGGGTATATGAACGAAAAATCGTGATATAACATAATAATTAATATTTTTTAAAAATTATATAAAAATCCAATATAATAATTTTTTTAAAACAAAGTATTATAAAGGCGTCATCAAGGAAAAGAAAGTGAATAAAAGTAATAATGGAAAAGCAATTTACCACAAAAAAGCTTGCAGAAACCTCAATTTAACCACAAGTAGATGCAATGACAGTTTTGATGTCCAGGTTTGGTGAGTTGTGAAGCTATAATCCTTGGAATCTAAGCATTCACTCGCCTTCAAGGTTTGGAGGGTTCCTTGATTCATACTCTTCATATAGTTTATGCATGTATTGAGATCTATTCCAAATAAAATCAACCTTTTTCTTAATCATAATTAATATGAATTCAATTCTAACCAATTTATTTGATTCATGTTGAAAGAAGATAATTTCTCGTAAACAATTGAAATCCAATCCAATGTGAATGGCTTATTTAGAAAAAAATAAAAATATTTTTATCGTGTTTTAAAATGATATTGATACATCATCAAATTATAAGATAAAAAAAAATTTAACAAAAAAGCTATATGTATACGTTTCAAATATATTATTTTTGAAAGATTAATTTAGATGATAAAAGTAAGTTTTCACCATTAGAATTTGAGGCGAAATTCGAAGTTTGTGTCAAAATAAAAAAAAAGTCATTAGGATTATTTTCAGAATAAGTTAGAAGTTATAAAAATAGAGCAAAATACATTATTTTTTAGATGCTAAATAATTTAATTATTTTAAAAAAATAAAAAATTTAAAAATCATATTGAAAATATGATATTTTTGAGGTGTGGAATGCTTCCTATTTTGAAAAACTAAAAACCTTAAAAATAAATTAAAAACTTTCAAGATTTTCAAAATGCATAATTCTCGAAACAGAATCGAGTTCCACCTTCGATTGGAATTTAATAGAAACTATCATGATAAAAAAAAAATCATGAATTTACCGATTAGATGTGTATATTACACATCCAAGACGAGTAAAATAAACAAAAAAAATAACCAGGGGTGGACGCAGCAGGAAGGATTTAGTATCAAGAGATTTACTTCCTTGTGATCTCGAGTTCGAATCTTGATTGCTTTTATTGATGGCCACTAGAGGCTTACATAATCGTTAATTTCGAGGCTTGCGGGATTAGTTGAGGTTAAACAAAATAAATAAATAACCAAAAAAATCTAAAATAAAATTTCAAAAAAGACCTTAATAAGAAATTAGTTATTACTCACCGAATTAAGGGAAGGCCTCTTTTTGACGCGAAGTTCTAACAATTTTAGCCTCTTACAGCTTCTTCGAACCACAGCCCAAAAAGTCTCCATCTTTATAACCCTCTCCTCTCTCTCTCTCTCTCTCTCTCTCTCTCTCTCACTCTCTTGACTCTGTATGCTCTGTTTGCGAGTTACAGAGAGCGAAAATGGAGAAGAAACTAGTGCCATGTTTGGTAGCATATGTTTTGATCTTATGCAGCGTGACCCATGTTAGATCAGATGCATCTAATCATCGTTACAATAGAGGAGATGATGTCCCACTTTATGTTAACAAGGTTGGACCTTTTCACAATCCCAGGTAATCCAATTCTCAATCTTTTTGCTGTTTTGATTAATGTAAGGCTGCTGGTTTTGTGGGGTGTCTTCAAGTTTATGACTTTTTTGATGATTTTGGATGGTGGGGTTTGTGGGATTTATTAGAAATGAAATTTTGGACTGGTTTGTTTAATTTTTGTGGATCTGAGCTTATGGGAAAGTGGATCTGTGATTTGTTTCCTGAAAAAGAAGATAAAACATTGGAACTTGGACTTGAGCATGAAAATGCTGATAATGTCAGTTAATTAAGTTGGAAATTAACACAGTTTAATGATTGTAGAAGGAGCTGGTTAATTTTATGTTGGGGAGATAGCTTAGTGGGATTTTGGGAATGCCAGTTTTTGGATAAAGAAATTTGCAAGCAAGTAGAGGCTGTTAGTAAATGACCAGAATAATGTCTAGAGATGTAGGAGCTGATTTCTATTTCTGGTCTTTTCTTGTGAGGCAGAAAAGTTAGGTATCGAGGGTCTTCATTTTTTGTTAATGCTGAAATTGGATCTCAGTTTTAGATCCTTTAAGCAATCACAGTAATTCGTGTTCTTACCCATAATTATGCTGGAATTTTATCGATATTTTCTTTGTCCACTCTTACATTTGTGTATGTTGCTTTGATTTAGAAGGCATGGCAAACGTGAGTTGCATTGTTTGAATTTGATAGGGAACTTCTAATTACTTGTGGAATCCCAAATTTATGGTCTTTATATAGAGATTTTAACTGTGCAACTATGAATTTTTGTTAGTATTTTTTTAGTCATAATTGTCTGATAATGTTATCATTCTTGTTCTCTCTGTCAGTGAAACATACCGCTATTTTGATCTTCCTTTTTGTTCATCAGGTTTGTATCAATTCACATTATTCCTACTTTAATGCTATGTTTTGCTGTGGAAGTTTACTGATGATGTGTATTACAGGTCCTACAAAGGACAAGAAGGAAGCCCTTGGTGAAGTGTTGAATGGGGATCGTTTAGTCACTGCCCCATACAAACTTGACTTTTTAAATGACAAAGACTCCGAAATTGCTTGCAAAAACAAGCTGACAAAGGAGCAAGTTGCTCAGTTTCGAGAAGCAGTTTCCAAGGACTACTACTTCCAAATGTACTATGATGACTTGCCCATTTGGGGTTTCTTGGGGAAAGTTGAAAAGGAAGGCAAGAATGACCCTAGCGAATACAAATATTACCTCTTTAAGCATCTTCACTTCACCATCTTTTACAATAAGGATCGCGTCATTGAGGTCACTGCACAATCAGATCTGAACAATGTTGTGGACCTTACTGAAGATAAGGAAGTCAATGTGGAGTTCATGTATTCAGTTAAATGGAAGGAAACAGAAATTCCATTTGAGAAAAGGATGGACAAGTATTCTCAGTCTTCTTCACTGCCTCATCACTTGGAAATTCATTGGTTCTCCATTATTAACTCATGTGTGACAGTTCTCCTGTTGACTGGTTTTCTTGCCACAATTCTCATGCGAGTCCTGAAGAATGATTTTGTCAAGTAAGAGCATGTTAATGACCTGTGTTGTTAAAACATGTCTGCTTACATTGTTCAAGATTTCTCATTTCTTTATTTGCTGATGCTGCCATTTTTAATAGGTATGCTCACGATGAGGAGTCAACTGAAGACCAAGAAGAGACTGGGTGGAAGTACATCCACGGTGATGTATTTAGATACCCAAAGTATAAGTCTGTACTAGCGGCAGCAGTTGGTTCTGGTACCCAGCTGTTTACTCTGTAAGTTTAACTTCAAAGCTGTGCCTTTCGTGGTTTTGTCTCAAATCTTTTTTTCCCCCTTTAATTATTGTCTGTGGCTGAGCAATCTGGTAACTTTGTATATATGCGTGTTGGCAGCACAATTTTTATTTTCTTGCTCGCACTAGTTGGTGTCTTTTATCCTTATAATCGTGGAGCTCTTTTCACCGCCCTGGTTGTTATATATGCCCTTACAGCTGGGATTGCTGGCTACACTGCAGCCTCTTTCTATTGCCAACTGGAAGGAACAAACTGGGTAAGTGATCATGAATTCCTTTTTCATTGCCTTCTGTGCATATCATTGTCATTGCGGGGCATGCCTTTGACACTTGTTGTAAGTGTCACTAAGGATATCATTATCAGTTTCAAATTCAGTACATATACATATTGGAATTCTCAATGTTTCTTTGGAATGTGTTTGGCTTTGAGATAAATGCTTGGTGAAAATTGGCTTAAGCAAGAAAAAGAGGTTCTTCAGAATGTGTTTGATTTTGTGATAAATTCTTTGTGGAAATTGACTCAAGCATGGACAAGGTGGTCAAAACCATCTTACTGTGGAATTTTTTTCCTCACTTAATAACTTAACCAATTGGGATGCAAAAGGTAAACTTTTTGAAAGAAAGAAGTGGATGGAAACAGTGTACCTGAAAATTGATGGTGTACTGCTGCTTGAAGGCTTGCAGTACATTTGAAAAGCTATCTTGAGAAGACAATAAATTAGAGCTCAACATTCAACATCACAGTTGAATATAAGTTTACATGCATTGAAACTAGCTAGACCTGGATATGAGTGTAATTGACTATTTCATGTTGGTTTGTGGTTTTCTGAAAATTAGCATGGCCTGCATTCTTTAGTATTATATGATATTGATGTTAATTGGTCATTATTAGAATGATGTAAGCATCTTTCAGTGGTAATGTTGTAATTTTGTGGTCCTATTCTCTATCATTGCAAAACTTCTGGCTTTACTCTAGAAACTACTGTTCAAATTGGGGTCATGCTATGCTAAATAGTTCTGAAATTTTGGTGTGGCAGGTCAGGAACTTGTTATTAACTGGAGGCCTATTTTGCGGACCTCTGTTCCTCACTTTCTGCTTTCTTAATACTGTTGCAATTGGGTATAGCGCCACTGCAGCATTGCCATTTGGAACAATAGTGGTGATATTTCTTATTTGGGCTTTGGTGACAACACCATTGCTGGTTCTGGGTGGGATTGCAGGGAAGAATAGCAAGGCTGAGTTTCAGGCTCCTTGCCGCACCACTAAATATCCCAGAGAGATTCCTCCGCTGCCTTGGTATCGGAAATCACTTCCTCAGATGGCCATGGCAGGGTTCTTGCCTTTCAGTGCAATCTATATTGAGCTTTATTACATATTTGCCAGTGTTTGGGGTCACAGGATCTACACCATATACAGCATCTTGTTCATTGTCTTCATCATTCTCTTGATTGTCACTGCTTTTATAACAGTGGCATTGACATATTTCCAACTTGCTGCTGAAGACCATGAGTGGTGGTGGAGGTATGTTTTAAGATTAGATCGGTATAATGTTCATGTCTAAAATATCGATATCTCTTGAGGCTATTGTATCAACTTTTCATCATTATCAGCACAAATAAAATATCTGTGAAGTTTTACTCACAAAAAACATTATTTTTCTTTGTTTTTCTTTCCCAACTTCTAGTGATATTTTAGCAGATTGTGTTTTTCTCACTCTTGAGATATTATCTAAATTGCTCGAAATATTTAAGTCATAACTTAATTTTGGTTTGTTTGTGTCCTAGCTTGCTTTTTTTCACCCACCACATGAATATCCCTCGTTTTTTCTGCAAAATGTCCATGTTTTGTAATGATATCTGCCTGATTCGTGTTTCTACACTCACTTTTATGTATTTGGCATTTTTCAGGTCTTTCCTCTGCGGTGGATCAACTGGATTGTTCATTTATGGCTATTGCTTGTATTACTACTATGCAAGATCAGATATGACTGGTTTCATGCAAACCTCATTTTTCTTTGGCTACATGGCTTGCGTTTGCTATGGTTTCTTCCTCATGCTAGGCTCCATTGGTTTCCGCGCTTCCTTGTTTTTTGTCCGCCACATTTACCGTTCAATCAAGTGCGAATAGCAGGTCATATCATCTCCATTATGTTCAATGAGTAGGCTCCTTTCCTCTCTCTCTTAACTGGCTTAATTGTAGAGAACTCGACACATTTGTATTCATGAAGCTTGTCTTATAGTATCTCTGGTGCTACAGGAGAAGCGCGGTTGGCTGGGAAAACATGCTCTAGGATTGCAGGGGCTTTATGTCACTGCTTTGGAGAATGATTGCACGTTACGTTTAGGAATTTGGTTATAATATCTTTTATAGGAGAGGAACAAGTAGGACTTAGCATGCAGTTAAAAGAATTGTAGTGCTTGAATGGGAACTCAAGTCTGTTTTGAGTGTATTGTAAGGTATTGGCCGTTATTTAACGGAAATCGAGGACCCATTACCGTTTCTCAGTGTCATATTGCTGTAACATTCTACTCATAACAATAATGTTTATAACGTTGTCCTATGAAAATAACCGGTCAATATCGGACTGCTCACTGGCATGATTTTTGTTTCTATATACCCTTTTCCTTTTAGATCCATATTTTCTACTGCTGCACTCTTTTGATACTTTTAATGTAACGTAATGCTTATTAAAAATTGTTAAGGATTACAAATGATTCAAGATAATATAGTTCCAAATATTATACTGTGATGTTTGCGATCCATAAGGTAATCAGTCTATAATGTAACAGCAGTTTAAAACTATTCAGTGTACAATCCGTGAGTGCATGTGCAGTTTCAAACTATAACAGTAACTGCAAGAAGAGAATTTTTCTTACTGGGAGCTGCAGTTTGAAAATACTTATTTCCACAATTTGTTTTCTTTGTTAATTTTAGTAGAATAAACTTTTCATCTTATATTCATCAAGTTTGTTTAATTTGACAGAATGAAAAAAAAATAAAGATACCTTTCCTATAGAAGCATTTGCTTACCGTATTAACCAAAATAACAGCACTTTATTTAAATGAACCAGAGAATTCATATCATACAGTAAGTCAGCAACCAACCGTCAGAAAGCTGTGAAATGAATAACAAAAGCAGTCCTAACACTATTTTTTGCACAACTTTAGGCTCTAAAAACACTCTTCTCGGCATTGCTTCTCTCCCACTCCCCATGATGAAAGACACGGGGAGACGGGGAGAGAGGCAGGAGGGATGGAACAGAATAATTTACCCTCCAGTTTTCCCATTTATCGTTGTCTGTGTCGCCGTCTGTGTTGTATCGTAAGCAGCATCAGCTGAAGATGTGTCCATATCGTTCAGTCCCAATTCCTCATTCTGTTCCCAGGACCTCTCATATTCCTCAACTGAAAATAGCAAAATACTCGTCATTGAGAGGAAAATACAGTGATTTGACACAAGAAGGCTTCATGAACAATCAGTTTGGAAACAACTGCTGAGCGATTTGAAGTACAGAGTTCACTAATAGTTTTACATCTGAATAATAAATCCAGAGAGTGCTTTTTGAAACATAACAAGCTCCTCATAACCAATTTACATGCTTTTTGAAACTAACGTAACTTATTTTGTTTTTGTTTTTTTTTTTTGTTTTTTTTTGGATAGAAATATTAACCAATGGTTAGTTCCCAGAGTACTATACTAGTTCAAACACATTCCTTCAGTTCTCTCTTTAATTGTTTGTTGTGTAATGTTTGCACTTCAAACTAAAAATGTTTCCTAGGAATCTATACATGTATTTCTATAGCAAGCAATATCACAATGGGATAGCATTAAACAACAGTTTTTACCTGCCCCGATGAATCCCATCAATGAATACATCAAAATTTTACGTAATACATTATACCTGCCAAGACAGTAAGGACAATAACTCACATGATAACTGATGGTCATCTTTTATATCGTCAGTGGCTGGGGCAACAAAAGAATTTGCTAATGCGTCATCAAGAATCAAAGTCCAAGGCTCTTCCACATTCAGAAGCTGGAGCATAAAAAAGAAGGTTAAAACTCAATATAACGAACTACCGATGCCCAAACCAAAAAAAAAAAAAAACCCCAAAGGTTAGTCTTGATAAAAATAAAATTGCAGGATCATAGGATTGCAGTGCCATGATCCAAACCAAGATCCTAGAAATTTCCAATTTTCGAAATGAGGACCATGCAAATGTTGGACTGAAAGATTGTACAATTTACACTTGGATTGCAATTTCAACAACCATGTACCACATTGTACCTTGTTTAGCCTTGCTCTAAAGTCTTGCCACTTGCTTTTTTTGGATTCATCAAGGCTATCTCCAAAAGTAAAACCATGAACTCTCTCAAGACCTGCACATGTAAAACATAAATATATGATTTCCTAAACTTAAGCTGGCAAATGCAAGTCCATATAGTAAATTGTACAGTAAATTTCATTTTTTTTTTTCAGAAAAAATTGACACTACCTATGTTATAATGCAAAAAAGATGTGATAAACAAAGCAGACCAAAAACAAACAAACCGCACCCAACCAATGCCATGAAATATTTTATAAAATGAAAGAACTCCCAAGTATTATATTTTAGACAGATAATAAACGAGTTTGTTCTTCTTATAAGAGTTCAAACAAGATGTGCCGTCCAAAAAAGAGAATAATGGCTTGCATGCTTCGAAAATCTTGGGGGAGGTTTACTGAGTTCTAAGGAAAATAGCGAGAAGGATGGAAATCAACACAAGGCTGGGATCTAATTTTGTTCAGTATGTATAGAAGGAAATCACAAAGTGGTGATATGATCTAGACTGGATTTTTAGAAGGAAATCACGACAGAAGTCAAATTACTATGTTTGTCTAGACATCATTCAGTTCTAAAAAATATATATGAGGCAAATGTCAACTCTTTAGTTGAAAAGATTATTGTGGTCAACAAGGAAACAATTGAACTTGACAAAAGAGGCAAGGATGGAGCACGAATAAAGGGAAAGAAGCTTCAAGGCAATGAAGGGAAGGCATGACTCACACTAAAAGAAGCTTAAGGTTTTGGTACTTCCAAAATTTTTTCTGAAATTAAGGGCACCACTAATTTGCACAGTTGACCTTAAAAGTAAATATTTCCTAAAATGATTACTAGCAGTTAGTTAGCTGAAGATGCCAAGCAATAATATAAAAGGCAAATTTTATAGAACCAAAAATGATATTCACAGTATAGGATTTGAAAGAAAACTGCAAACTGGTTTCTTTGCTTTTATTTTATTTTATTTTTTTGAACTTAACTGGTATTCTTCTGTCAGTTTCCTATATTTTATATATGAATACCTACTAAACTAACAAAAGATTGTGGTCTGTACTGAGACCAATTATGATAGGATGTAAACATAACAGGATCATTATTTATGTCCCAGAACACATTCTAGGCCAGTAGGGGATTAGGCTGGTACTTGGTCGATTCCAAGGTAGCAGTGGCAATATTGGGTCAGACGCAATATATTTGAAAAAAATTAGTTATTATGGGAATTAAAAACAAATACCAAAGCATTAATAAAACGATAGAATGACTGAAACAGATGTGAGATGTAATAGTAATACTCACTTTCACTAATTTTTGTGATCAGACCTTCAACAGTTGTAACAATGCCGCCCAAAGTACCACTAGCTAGCTCCAAGGCAAGCTCTGGGACTTTCACACCTGCAGTGTCCGACTGATAAAACCAAAATATGGTTAGAAAGAAACCTGTAACATCTTGCTAAACACAAAGTATCGAGCAAGGACAAAGGTAGAAAGAAACAAAGACTATGTTTCTACATCTCCAGTAGACGATACATATAACTAATTTAAATGTGCATTGAAGTACATTTCACACTTCCAGTGTCCTCAATATCCTAAGTCAAACGATACAAAATTAATCCAATTCCATTAAGACAGCACAAGTAGTAATATCCATCTACACAGTTACAGCAATGGACAGTCAGCATATGCAAGAGCCACACGGCAAAACACAAAACAAAAGTCAGAGTAGAAATGAAACTAAAAGAAAGAATGATCAACCTACACAGCGCAATCCTACACAATGAAATGTTTGTTTCATTCCTTGAAATGAAAATGTTTTGCACAGTGCATGCAGTATGTAGACTGGGAGATTTGATGAAAAACCCACCCCTAACTCTAGATTGGTTTCATGAAGTCCTCCTCTATTTCCCATAAGTACAAAGCAAATGGAACAGTAGGCAACACAAAATTGTGAACAGGATTACCGTCTATTTGCCCAAATGGTCCAAATGTTAGTACCCTATATTTGTGGACATAAGATATGAACTTTTGTCTCCTAGAATCACTTCCACCTACTCACTGGCACCTCTCTTCCTTGTCTTTCAAGATGCTCCTTTCAATGGAGAGGTATAAACAATTGGAATTGAAATTTACTCAATAGCAGCTCAACACAGCCAAGCAGTAAACCAAAATAATTGGGTTGGCAAGAGGAACTTGGAAAATTGGAAGGATTCTGTGACTAGAAAACCAGCATTATAGGACATTTATTGCATTGCAAGAAGAAGAGTAGAACATACAAAAGACTAAGGCAAACCTTTATCACATCACGGCTTAGGTCATTTGCATTCTTCACAACCAAGGTGATTGTCTTTCCTTTTTCAGGAATACGACCACCAGGCTTCAACTGCATGGTAAAAAACTATTAAATCGTGCCATGGAAAAGAGAGTAGAAAGTAAGACCAATTTACCAAGAAGGCACAAACCTCAGAATTGCGGTAACCACATGCATCACAAGTAGATGCCATGACAATTACTTCTTGGAAGTATGGAATATCTGCTTAATGTTAAGACCCACAAATCTTTATCCACTATACCAGCAATATACTCTTTAACATTTAAGGATAAAAATTTAGATTGTAATGCTTTCGATGAGTTCATCCTAATAAATGAAGCATTCAACTGAATTTTGTTAGACGAGTTTGAAACAGCAACTAAACAGGCAAAATTTCACACAACTGCAAGCTTTTACAGTTTATTTTAGCAGTTGAGAATGTTAAAGGCAGAAACCTAGCATCTATCATTGAATTCTTAATTCGATCCGGGAAAACTCGAGAGAAAAACACAGAAGGTACCAACAAGACAATTCCTTGAGACAGTTGTCTTGAATCATAAAAAATGTATTAACTTCAAATCCTTCCTGTTTTCAAACGAAACTTTTCATGAAAAACAGTTGGGAATCACGGTCCACCACAATCATTCAATACTCCCTTAGACAACCCTTGCCAATATGCCAATAAACCTAAATCTATCAGCAAATAGCTACTGGTAAGTGCTTGCCCTGAAAATAATATTTTAGTAGCACCCCTACATACTAAATGGTGGCTAATGCCTGAAAAGAGGATTGGTATCATAATGAATTAAAAAAACTAGGTTTGGATAATGAGATCAGATTACCTTGCTCCTTCCCCACTGGCCGAACCATATAACGTCTCAACTTTATAGTTACCTTAGTACCAAACTACTTGGCCTTTAAATTATTCTTTTCATGCTTCTCCATTTCCAAAATTCCAATAAACTTTTGGCATGCCCATTAAACAGTCTTTTAATAGTCCGAACACAAATTAGAAACTTGAGAAATTTCCAGCAAAGACAACAATTGATAGATAAAAGGAACTAGATAATCAACAAAAAGAAATGGAACAAACAAAGGTCAAGGATACTGGTGACAAACATTCGAGTCTCACACATACTGGCACAAGATCCACAGGTTGATGGGAAAGTCATCACCTGACAAAAGAAAGAATGGGTCAGAGAATATGATATATAAGAAACAATTTCCTTCAAGATATAAGATATTTAATGATTAAAATTGACAATCGCATTAACCTCTTCTGGTGCAGTGTACCGAAATAAAGCTTCAGCAATTTCTGAACTATTACTCTGAGCAATGGCCCGATGACCAGCTGCAGCTCCAACTGATCCATGAGGTTCTCTTCGCATCTGATCAGAAATATTGCCGGTCAATTCTGATGATGGTCCATCACCAGGTTCTCCAATTTGTGATAGGCGAACTTGATAGCCCAGTGCTGCTTGCTGCTCTGGTGTTCGCTCGTAAAACTTAATATTCAATGATGGATCAGGGGATGGAGCAAACCTGTTCGTCAAGTATTGATATTTTCCAACTTAAATATAATAGAAGCACCTGAAGGTTTGTTCAATATGCCATAATACAAGATAGGCAAACAAGATCCCAGCCCAAGTCCGCCCAAGAGCAAAATGATTTTAATCTTATCCGTGAGAAATCACACTAAAATATTATCCTTTAAGATTGTCAAATCTTTAAAAGGTAGGCTTGTGTGTATGCATGAGAGAAAGAGAGAGAGTTTATACATTGCTCAGCAGGAAACTATCCATCCAACCTTGACAAAAACAAAAAAGCAGGAAACGAAGAAAAAATATAAAATCTACAGCTCCAGTACCAGGGGAGACAAAAAATGTTCCTCAAGTTTAAGAGAATCTCTTACGGGTTCTCAATGAAGCTGTTTCCAGCAGGATCATCCAGGATGAATTTGAATGGTGAATCTCCTGCTGCACAAGCTCTCAATTTCAACAAGAACTGGTCTATTGCTTCAGCAGTCTGAGGATCCACTTTCTGGTAACCAAAGAAATAACATTAAGGAAAGAAAATGACAAATTAAACGTCATCAAACAACAATGGTACAAACTTATCATTCACCTTGCGTTCTTCTTGGAGTGCCTCCAATTCATTGGCAGCCCGCATCAAAATCCCTTCAACCTAAAAGAATTATGCCAAACACTAGATGGTTAAAAGATTGAAAGGAAGACATAAAATACTCTAGGAACATACAGGAACAGAAACATTATCTCCAAAGGGACATGCAGAAAAAAGAATGGTAAAAAACTAAAGCATGAGATCCAGAGTGAATGAGTTGTTCTAAATTGACACAACTGCACCAAAAGCAATTCAGAAGAACGAAACAAACACTATTCAGAAATTCACTCATCCATTGGCATTAAACTTTCTGAGTGGAGCAAACACTACTAAATCATCTTCTATTCTTCTAAATAATACAATTGAAGGAAAATGAAGGAAGATAGAGTACCAATTACCATCCAGATGGTTATCTCCTTGTAGAACTCAAGATATAACTTCCCCAAACAATAAAATAAAATGAAAAAAGAACCAACCATTAAGTTTAAGCAGAAAAAGAAAAACGTTAAAAAGTCATCATTCTGTTTCTCTAACCTATCCAACCTAGTATCACCTCTATTCTTCTCTAAATAATCTTTCAGTGAAGCAAACACTACTAAATCATCTTCTATTCTTCTCCATAATCCAATTGAAGGAAAATAGAGGGAGATAGATTACCAATTACCATCCAGATGGCTATCTCCTTGTAAAACTCAAAATATGACTTCCCAAAACAATAAAATGAAAGGAAAAAAGAACCAACCAGCCATTGAGTTAAAGCTGAAAAAGAAAGAAGTTAAAAAGTCATCACTCTGTTTCTCTAACCTATTCAATCTAGTAATCTATCACATTTATTTCTGATACTATTGTTTTTCATTCCCTCCTAACAAAAAGAAGCCTCACAGAGATATCACCACATTTAATCATGCAGAGAAACAGTTTTCAGTTTCCACAAAATCAGAGCACCAGGCCAGAGGAAAGACGGCCATCACCAGAATGTAGCCATCAACAAAATGAAGCTACTTCGACCCCAGCAAGAAGAAAAACTACTAAAACTGAAAAAATACTAGGGTATAAAGGGTATACCGTTGACAAACTGCCACGCTGTGCCTCTGGAGGAATCTCAAAATCCAATTCAGGAATCTGCATGGACAGATAAAAGAATTAAAGGAAATGATGTCAATGCATCATGCACCATTTAAATTATTTTGAAGAAAAATGCAGGACAATGGAAAGCATTTATTGGTGCAAGACTCTCATGATTCTAATTTCATTTCCTAAAGTAGGAATTTCTTTTCTTTTTTTTTTTCTTTTTTTTTTTTTTTTTTTTGATAAAATGACACATTGCGCACAATACAACAAAGGACAGCATAACTTTTCCAGAAAGCTTGTGGACGCCAGTACTTATCTTCATTATGCCTTAAGGCCTCAACTCAACTATAAGCATCTAATGAACAAGTTTGTTCAGAATACAGAACTAGTATCCATGAGAAAAAACCCAAGATCAAAATCAGAATTATCATTTAGTACACAGATGAAGAGAAGAACATCTGAGACAATACAAATATGTTTTCAACACAGATACATGTACTTAATTGCTAAAGAAGTTATCCAATCTGGCTTTTAAAGTTCTAACCTCAACAAAACATCAGAAAGCTAGGAATTATGAGTAAACAATAATCTGAACCAAATGTAACAAGTATGATCAAGTAAAAGTACCTTTATTGTGGCAGACTCAGATTTTACAACTTGTCGATTAAGCATCTGCATTATCAAAAACATAATTTGGTTTGGTTATCAAAGTGCAGCTTCTTTAAATTTGATTTGATGCTCACCAAAGCAAAATATAATAATAATAATTAAAAAAAAAAAAATTCTTATAACAAGGACATCTACAAATTATACTAAAAAACTGTTTTTTTGTTTTTGGAAGACCAAAAGAAAACTCAACCTTTTGATCGCTTGATGAGATATCTAAAGAATAACAACACCCCCGCGGCTGAATTTCACCAGCAAACTGAACTTCATTGTTCCTAATAACAAATAAAGGAGCAAAAAATAAAAATAAAAATTTACATCAAGAAAATTTATTCTCAGCAACAAATTTAAAATGCATATGTATGTAGACACACACACACACATCCCACATCCTACCTACCTCTCACCACAATGTGGACATTCAAAGGCAGACAACAGTATCTACAAGCACAAAATTAAGGCTGGCTCATTAGCAATTAACATAACCAAAATTATAACTTTCGAAGCAAAAACCTCACAAACAAAAAAGAGAACTGACGGTAATAAACAGCAAATCACAAGGACAACAATACCTTTCTAAAATTTGGAATTAATGTCAACAAGAAGCTTGTAATTCCCTGTTAGCAACAAACACATAACATTAACTAGTGTCGCTAACATAACCAAGCACCAAACTTTGACAAATAACAAACCAAAATAACCAAAACCCGTTTTTCTTTATCAAATTCTTGTTAATGGGTATCTCACAATTCACCTAAATTCAATCAAAGTTAATGCCAACATAAAAGACACATAAATAAAGCAAAGTAACTTGAGAGAGAAAGAGAGTGGAATTACATTTTCACCACAACGCATACAGAGACTTTCAACTTTATAAAGAGGGACATCAATCTCAATATTATCTTCTGTAGATATAGCTTCAACAACTGATCTCACATCAACTATTTGATCCTTATTATTATCTTTGCCTTCCATTTGTTCTCTATTATTATTAACTAAACAACTCTCTCTCTCTCTTTATTGTTTACGGTTAAACACAAGATAGAAGTGAACAAGAATCCAAAGAAGCAAACTTCTGCAGAAGCTAAACGAAGGGAAGCTATGAGAAGGAAAGTATAGAGCAAGGTCGTTTGAGAAACGGCTAGAAGTTTCCGTCTTTCGTAATTTAGGTTAGTTAATAAAAATGAAGAAGAAAGAAAGGCCCAATTCAAATTTTAGGCCCGGGCCCATCATTCTTTACAAGGCCCAATATTTTGCCTTTATTTGAGATGGAGAGAAAATAGTGAAAAAAAGAGTAACATAAAATCACCATTGAATTACCGGAGCCCGTTTTGAAAATTTATTTATCTGAATATATCAGATTAGTATTAAAAAAATGTGTTTAATATCTTTTACAAAAGAATTCAATTTCGATCGGTTGATGCATAAATTAACGTAAAGCTAGAATGTGTTTTTAAGATCGTTTTAAAAAAAATTAATTTAATTAACATACAAATTGACGCCAGGATATCACTTGTCGTAATATATATATATATATATATATATATATATATATATATATATATATATATATATATATATGTTAAATTGTTGCTAGAAAGGCTTTTCTTTTCTTAACACTTTCACTTAAAAGTTTTTTTTTTTATCAAATCTAGGTGATTTTGCTTCCAACCTCTCAATCTATCTCTGTATAGTATTAATGTTAAATTTTCAACGACAAATCTGCAAAATTATTCACATAATTTACGCATAATTGTTTTTTATTTCTAAAATATATTTATAAACCAGTCAAAGAAAAAATTAAAACTTTCATATGCAAATCATATAATTAATTTAGATAGTTTGATTTTCATATCACGCCAAACCGTATTAGATCATTCATTCTCCGAAAACAAAACAAAGCATCAGGTATTTGGTCCGATTTGAGCTTGAAAAATTGTGTCCGCTTTTTCCAGCTTCCGCTTCTCAGCAGCAACAGTAATTCCATACAACCTCTTTACGTAAAGAGGAAGTCTCTTCCAGAGATAAGGGAAGGGAATTTATATCCGCAGAGAGGAAAATTATGGCTGGTCGACTTGAATCTTAAAATCGACATCATGTAAACCACTGACAGAAGAAAACAAATTCCAGATATGACCAAGAATGTTCTCTTGCGTATTTAATGTGATAAGTTAAAAAGAGGGCATTATCCGAATTTTTCAAGAAGAATTGTACGGACAAAGCATAAAAGATAGGATGGGGCAAACGTACATGCAGCCCTACAGCTCAGGACATGCGGTCAAAGTGCTTCCATGAACTATGACCAGAGAGAGAGAGAGAGGAGGAAAGGTTTATAATTGGAGACTATTTCCTTGATTCAAATAGAAATTTTGGCCTGGCTGAAGAGTGAAGACCTAAATGATACATCTCATGCGGCAGCTTCATTGGAGCCTACTGTTTGAAGATGGAACTACCTACCTCCAAGTAGAACCACCAAGTCTAAAAACCTCTTCACCATCATTATCCCTCCGAGGAGCCCTTTCCAGGTCAGCATTCCCTTTCTGATCCCTAAGATCGCCATAAAGATCTCTGAGCTTTGCCAAATTGCTAGACGCAGATGTCTTATCCTTGGCTCCATCCCTTTGAGGAGTTGGGTGGCGATCAAATGGGGATGAGCCAGCTTGCAGGCTTCGGCTCCGGCTCCGGCTCCTGCTCCGGCTACGGCTTCTATAAGATCTACTTTCCCTGTGATGCCTAGTTCCATCACGGCTGCTACGTTCATAATCCCTTCTGCTTTCCCTATCAGTGTACCTGGAACTCCTGTCAGAATCATACCTTCTGTCTCTATCTCTATCCCTTTCCCGTCCCCGTCCCCGTTCCCTCTCTCTGTCCCTGTCCCTGTCCCAATCTCTCTCCCGATTCCTGTCCCTCTCTCTATCCAGATCACGGTCTCGATCCCTTTCTCTACCCCTATCGCGATCCCGATCCCGGTCTGAAATTTCTTTATCAGAATATTCACGACTCTGGCTGCGACGGATTCGTGGATCATCACTGGTTCTGTCATAGGGGGTGGAGGTAGTGTGCGGCGAACAGGTGATGAGTCCCTGGTTGATGCACGATGAGGAGCACGCTGACCAAAAGAGACTGAAAGTGCAGCCTTCACAGATGGTGGTCGGCGTGCAGTATCATCAGATCCATGACGGTTGCCATCCCCTGTAGCACCAGAAATTTTAGTGGGTAGCTTCATCTTCTCAAGATTGGATGTGATCTGCCGCAAGACAGGAACAGGAATACGGGGGAATAGGGTATCAAAGTAGTACTGCAGAAGAAAAACATATGGTATCAATCCCTTTTGCCGGCAAGGAAGGATGGTGAAATATAAAAATTCTACATAGGATTAGAGGTTGTTTCAACCTGACCTGTCCAAGAAGCAAATCACGCACATATACACCCATTGTCGTTTTCCTTCCACTAGATCCCGGAGAAAATTCCTGAAATATAATAACCCCAATATGTTACTACAAAGAGAAACTTAAGCTACCGATGGAGGAAGACATGCATATCATGTCCATAAACTCATTAAGTTTGTGAAGTTTGTCAGGATTATGAATGAGCATTTAATTAACAGTAGCAGTGAAAAGGGAAGATGACATTAGCTAGACAACTACTAGGTTACTGTCAAAAGAGTGGTACTTGTACATAAGTATCAGATCTTGGAAAGCAGGATCTATTGAAATATTCACATATTAGGATTGGAAGCATTTCAGTCAACCAATCCAAATGCAAGCAAAAGAATCTCCTAAATTCATTTGATGTTGTTAGGATCAAAAGTTGTTGTCAGCAATCTAATCAACAAGCACAACAGCTGAAATAAATCACACACTGCTCTTTTGCATTGATAAATACCAATAACCATAGGACAGACACAAAACATGACCAATTTGACAAAGAGATTAGCTTACAGCATCTCTAGTTGGAATCCAGATATTCTTTAATCAGGAACATAAAGCGAAACCAAATAAGACATATGCAGCATACTAGAGCTTGTAGACAACTCCCCATAACAAAAGACCACAAACTGGATCTCGAGTTCAAAGAATACAGAGCACAGCGATTGCAATAATCAGTTCACTTGAAACAATACCATTCTAAAGAAGATTGGACTATATCAAAACTTTTGATAAGTTTGTGTAGAAGGTAAATCCCCTCCCCCACCCACTTGGCCACCACCAAAGAACTTCGAAGTCAGATAGATCCAACACTGGCATTTGACTTGTATTGGTATACGCTACTCGTTGTAACTAAGCAACTACTAAGATAACTACCAGAGATTATTTTTGCAAAATTAAGATTAGGGAGAAAGCTTAAGCACAGTTATTGGCCATTCAATTCCACAATCAAAAAGAGTTTCAATAGGCAGATTGCGTTACAACTTTAGCTTTCAAGTATTAAAAGGCATCAATTTGTTCATGAGAGAAATATAAACTGTAGTTCAGGCAAGGATATAGAGAAGTACTTCATCATCTTTAATATATGGTTCAAACCAATTCCACAGTGTCTTTGGATCACCAGCATATCTCAGGTACAGGAACCCAACCTGCAATCAAATTTGGAGATATCAATACTACATATTTCAGTCACAAAGCTAAGATAAAGCAGCCCCTATGCTAACCAGTAAATTCTGCAAATCAAGCAGAGAGATAGAGAGAGAGAGAGAAGAAAAAATGTGTACATGCCGATAAATGTGAACCAATCTTTGAAGCCAACGGAATAGGGGATCTCTATCCTTAGTATCAAAGAACCAAAAATGGTAACAACAACAGCACCTGATCAACAGAAGTGGGCAACAGAATGCCAGTTCTGGTATTCCCATAATTAGCTAATGGTAATAATACCAATCAAAGCAGCAGCAAGTGTAATTGGGTTAAAAGACAACTGACAGTATTCATTCATGATTTAAACAGTCAACTGACAGTACCAATTCACGATTAAAAAGCCTAGGAGTTAGAACAAAAAATAAGACACCCCAAACCTTAATTTTGCGAAATCTGCTCAGCAAAGCAAGGGCAGTTTATGTAGGAGTGAGAAAGTCATAGCAACTCAAAGAAACAAGAACACCTCAACCTTGGTTTGCAGAGATCTGCTATGAAAAACAAGGACATTATCATGTGTGACATGTAAATCAAAATAGAGATTTTCAAGTATTACGAAAATTCAGATATGACAATGTTTTGCCTGTTACCTCATAATTAAAGGAGGCTCTTAACAGTTCACACTCCAGCAAAGTAGATGAAAAGTCCTTATAAATGGAGTTCATATAAATGGAGCTCAATTCATATAAAAAATCCATTCATAAATTTGCAGTTGATAGAAAAGCTTGAATCAAGTTGCCTCAAAAATTTTAATTTCCTTTGTGTAGTTGAAGACATGGAAAATGCAAAAGGAAATCACTGACAATAGCCAAAAGTTTCCAAATTTGATAAAATCCTCCTCAAGTTTCCAAGCTTAGCTAAAATTTGAAAAAACACTAAAGAGAAGATAGATTAGAGTAAATATCTCAAAAAAATTGATAAGACACGAGCAAAAGTTGAGGCCCACAAAAGTCAACCTATGCCAATATAACTCAAGACCCATTATGCATGATTTACAATCCAAAACTCTTTTAAATTCACAATCGTTCCACAGATGAAACGACCTTGTAAATACAGTCATATAAAAGAGAAGTTAAAATTATTTAACAGGCAAACATTTCTCAAATTCAATAATGATCAACTAATGAAGATTGTGAATAAATATCCACACATCAGGAATTTGCAACCAACTCAAGCCACTAATATCAAAAAAAGAAAATCAAGGTATGGAACAATTACCGCTCTGATATAAGGAGAATCCTTGTGCTGTAGCAGACCATGCATTTGTTTGACAGTGAGTTTCATGGTGAAGAACTTGTACAGAAGGCAAAAAGAAGTAGATGGACCGCGACAGTTGCCAGTCATCCATGGCTCAACATGGTCAACTTGATTGTATATTTCATCTATCACTTCATGGTATGTCTTTAATCGGTAAAGCTCCTTGAAGTAATCCGATGATAGAATGTTCATACAAAGGACCTTCTCTAGCAGTGATTCTAATGGTTTCCCATTTGTCTGTAGCTCCATGATGAACTAAACAATGCAAGCACTCCTGGGTTTAATACAATTGAAACAACAAGGTTTAATTATAAGTGAATTATCATTTAATCACAGTTTCTCAAGTCGTATTCCTGCAATAACATAAAAAAACATCATCAAGTATGGAACATAAACAATCAATAACAAGAAATAGAATGCAAAACCAATAAGCTGCAAGTCCTGTTTAGGCTGACTATAAATATGTACCAAAATGAAAATTTCAAAGTCAGAATCATTAGCTTCATTGATAAGCCAATAGACACGAAATCAAACTTAAAAACATGTCCTTAACATAAACCTTAACATAATTAATCCTAAACAATTAATAACAATACATCAAACAGAAACCCCAGAACCTCTTAAGCTCTCAAATTCTTTTATAAATGTCAGAGCTAGTAAATTTAACTTCATTGTGAACCAAAACAAAAACCTTTTTATCTACTAAATCAATACATTTAACAAAATTACCCAAAACAATCAATAACAAGACGTAAAAATCAAAACCCATGAAACCCCGAGCTCTATTTTGATACTCCAATAAATCTCAATAAGCTCAAAGCCCTAATAAACTTGAACAAAACAAAACTCGATAAACTTCAAAGCTTGCATCTTTAGCTTCATTGATAACCCAAAAATTACTATTCGCTATAAACAATCAATAAAATGAAATAAAATGAAAAATCCACAATTCTATTTAGTGCCCTAAAGCTAAAATCATCAAAAGTTTGCACTTTACCTTCATCAAAAACCTAACATACGAACCCATCAAACACAACCAAAAAAAAAAAAAACCAACGAACCCATAATCTCAATTAACCAACACATCAACTAATTTACATTAAAAAGAGAGAGAGAGAGAGAGAAGAAAGTCAAGTAAATTAAGAAATGGGCTCTTTTATACAGCTAGAACTGTAAATCTGGAAAACAGAACTGAAGGTTTATAAGTACCTGTAAAGGGCGGAAAGTTGAGAAAATTGAATCAAAATTGAGGCAAATAAAGAGGGACCGTTACGATCTTTGATGAGTTTCTGGTGTTTGCTTTTTTGGGTTTTTTGTAATTCGGCGAGAAGAAATCAAATCACCGAAAGAAACCTAATTGGGAAATTAATTTTTTTTGGTCTAAAAAGAAAGCAGCCTCTCTCCTCTCTCTTTTGTCTTTCCAATGCAAGTTAGGCCCTCATTCATGGACCGACATTAGGCACGAGAGAGGCCTTTTTGCTTGGCCCAAATACAAGCACACACCTTGTTTAAACATAAGTCATAGTTCCTATAATTTACAAAATGTTACATTTTGATCCCTGTAAAAGAGATATAAACTCTCACCAAAGAAAAACACTAATGTCAGTTGAGTTACGTCTTATAATTAGATTATTAATTATCTCGTGATTTGTGAATATACTAAGATGGACGTGAATGAAATCTTTAAAATTCAATTAATTTGCAAACACTAATTCCAAAATAATAAAGATTAACAAAAGAACTTGTAATCTAGTGAGTACTGATCTCTTACAAGCAAGACTAATTTTATTAGAAAACTTGAATATGTAAATTTTAAAAAATAAGAATTGAGGTTCAAATAAAAAATCTCAACTATATAAATCATCGGGCATTTTTAATCATTTATTTATTTATTTATATTTTATGATTTTATGTATATGCACAATCAACTGTTTTTATCAATTTTTTCACCCAAAAAAAAAAAAAAAGTCAATCATAAGAGATCTTAACTCATTATTCGAGTAAATTATAAATTAATCCCTATATTTTTTTAAATTAATTAATTAATTTCTCTTCTTGCAAAACCTAATTTTTTTACACTAAGATAAAGAGATAAACTCATTTGGATGAATATAGCTTAAATTCGATTGTATATGAACTTAGGCTCGATCGATATAAAACGAATATAAAAGTATTCAATTATTGAGGAAAAACTGATACATTTTTAATATCGAATGAGGATTAATTAGGACCAAAAAAGGCATTGGGTCAATCTCTTTTTTCATGTGAAGGATAGCATTCCTTAAATTCAATTGATATACTTTTAATGTCGAATATGGCTTAAATTCGATTGTATATGAACTTAAGCTCGATATAAAACTGATATAAAAGTATTCGATTATTGAGGAAAAATTAATACACTTTTAATGTCAAATCAGGATTAATTAAGACAAGAAAAAGCATTAGGTAAAACTCTTTTTTCGTGTGAAGGAAAGTATGGCTTAAATTGGATTATGTATGAACTTAGTTTAGATATACAAAATTGCCCCAGAAAATTTCCAGTCTACTTTGCTCAAGTTTTTCCACCATTATAATTGAAGTACTCAATTGGGCATGATCATGCTGCCAAATACAGCTAAGAACCAAAAGAGGATGACTTGCATTTTAAATGGTAAAAATCAAAATACAATTCCAATTATTGGCCTGTGAAAATTAAAAAGTCACTAAGCAAAACCCCGTTGAAATGGGATTTTGGCTGTGAAAAAGTGACTAATCACACCCACTAGAAGATCTACTGCATCAACTAAAACACTGTTAACACTCAAAATTATCTGACTAAACTTGTACAGCATTGAAGAAATTAACACACAAAGAGTGTTAATTTAGTTATTTAACGGGCTTCCAGGCATGAGCATGAGCATGAGAATGAGCATATTCGAAGTAGTAAAGCTCATCCTCAGGGATGCAGCTCCAGCACTTGCTGTTCACCATGTGGAAGCTTGGCTCTCTAGGAATTGTCAAAGGCCTGTTTGATCTGCACCAAAGAAAGTGATCAACCTGTTCGATTTATATATACCTCACAAAACCCTACCAAATGAATTAGCCTCTGGGAGCAGATAGAGATCGATTTGTGTGGCCTAAGTACACAACTGTTTGAGCTTGAAGTGGATAAATTTTTGTTTAGTTTCTTTACCTTTGTGGAAAGAAAGGTCTGTCAAAATAAGGCATCAGTTGAGCTCTTGGAACCATCTCCTTTCTCAGGGAACGAACCTCTTCCTCTTCGATGATCTGTAAACAATTTCATTGCCAATGTCAATGTTATGCGCTTGAGATAGTTCTCTCTTGCACCATGAAAACAAGGGCAGTAGGCACTAGCTAGTTACCTTCTGTATCTTCTCTACTTGCCTCTTCTGTTGCTCTATCATATATATCTTGGTTGCCACCTGAAATCATAAATGATTCAGAGAAAAGATTGGATAATCCCAGAAGAAACATCGAAAAGCAGGATGGATTTGTGCAAAATGGGCTAATCTTGTGATGGAATCAAGCTTCTTACAGAATAGTTGAACATGGCACGTTTGAGGGCTCTTTGCCCAGTGTGGAGTTTGAATTCTTGGGGCTTAGTATTTTCCTTCACAAGAGGTTTTGGGGCAACCTATAGCATGATTAAGGATTAGCACAGTCGAAAAAAATTGAGATAGATGATAGAATTTACTACTAGTAGTAGATCCATTTTACCTTGGATTTGTCATATAGTGGATCCTTGAGATCATCTTTTGCCTGCGAGAAGTATACGCCAAGCTATTACTCAATGAAAATAAATGTCTAGGCAAGAAGATAGCATGCTTTTTTACCTATAAATTGCTTGCTTGATGCTTAAAATGGACAAAAGAGCATGAAGATAGCAACATTTAGAACAAAAAGTCTACTCCAAGTTCCAAAACATTCTGTTGAGAAAAAAGTCCCAAAAGAAGACACTTTTTGACATATAAAGTGACAACAATCATAAAAAGGAAGACCTTTTTCCCTCTTTTTTACATCTTTTTACCGGCAAAATGTAGCTTTCAATGATTAATGAGCTATTTTTGGAAAGATTTACTAAACTAATCTGCCATGTCAGCTGAGAAACGAATGATGTTTGATGTTGAATATTTGCTTCAACACAGTGTTTTGGCTAAAACTTGAAACTGTCAAGAGGTTAAAGAAATGTTACTAGGCTGTAATTCATAATTAAATTGATTAAAAAAACCTTAATTAACTTAAGCATAAGATTTAAGACCATAAATTTAAATAACAGATCGTTACGCTATGTAACAACCATTATATAACGATTTCGAAACACTCTATTATCATTATTCGACGTTATATATCAGTTAAGATCGTTATTTTACTACTAAGATAAACCGTAATTTGTGATTACAATCATAATTTTTTTTTAACCACGTCCATAATTTAAAACCGTGCTTAAGACACCGACTTGGAAGTCAATAATTGGATAGTGAGTAATATTTGCCCAAACTCATTTCCATGTAAGGCTTAATTTTACTTTTCTTGTGAGAACTAGCTAGTTGAGATGCATGGAATGTCATCTCACCATTCCTCTAGCAGCATTGCTCCATGGTGCAGACTGTGAGCTAGCATTAACAAGCTTCTAAAAAAGACGTAAAAACACACATTTAGACAAGAATTAAGGAAATGGGAAACATTAATTTCAAGAGGAAAAAAGAAACATATAGCTAGCAACCTTAAGTGCAGATTTTGTGTGTGCTTTCTCCATGCTTAAGCAAATAGCAAGTAATAAGCTCAGACTGCAACTTTTGCTGAATATTGGAAATGAATGAAACATAACTAAATTAAAGAGAGAATTTATAAGAGCAAAAGATCGAAGTTTGGAGATTAGTAATTGTCTTTGTGTCCCTTTTTGTTCTGTTGCTACATCACAAACTTGCTCAAGCATTTTGCTAAGCTCTCATGCACCAAACTTTCTGATTAAATCTCCCTCTCATGCATGCATTTTTTTGTCATACCTGGCTACATGTTCCTTCAAATCTCCTCTTCTGTTAATCAGGAATTTAACTTTTCTCAAGTTCCTATTCATGGATTAAAGAGCTGACTTAATCACTTAATCACTGCTAATTTGCTAGAATTAATCCTGGTTATAATATTATTATAAGCAAGTTACTCATGAGTCATAAAACATTATGGTTCTTGCAAGCAGATTAGCTGCTTGGCTAGCTTAACTAAGTTAGTTGCCAAGTTGTATCAGATAATTAGAATATATAGAAAAAAATTTGACCCAAAAACAAAATCTGTGTAGGAGATGTCGAGCAGCACAAGGTAATTTGCTAGAAAAAATGGATAAACCCCATTCCTTGTCTTTATACCATCTTTGTTTTAATTCCTCTACTCATGTACGATACAAAACAAATTTTATACTATTAAATCTTGAAACAAATCAATTTTTTCATTCAATCATTCATTTTCGTTAATCACATATAATCATATGATTAGTCGAATATTTAGATTAAATAACTAATTTATTTTAATGTTTAATAATATAGATTTATTTTGTATCATATATATATATATATATATATATATATTTGGATAGAGAAGTTAAAATAAATAATATTATATAATATGAAAGCACGAGATGAATTTCACCCCAACTATCAAAATTTGACTCATGAGTTGCATGAGATTTGAAGTTCAAGATTTCTCTGCATCTTTTTTCTTTTTTTCTTTTTTTTTTTAATTCAATTTCTGTCAAAACTCAAGATCCCTCCATTTTTATAAAGTTTGAGTTTCTTGGGAATTTTTTTTTTTTTTTTGAGATGTAAAAATTAAAGCAGGACCTAAAACTGAGAATATTTGGCCAATTAATTCCGAAGAAAATCTCAACTATGATTCTATAGTATTTAGCTGAATGACTAATGGTAAAATTTCCAAATTTTTAGTAGTAACATTGTAATACTTGAATGTGGTGACTCAGATAAACATCATAATTTAATAATTACATATTCGATAGTTTATTACAATGAAAAAAGTTTGTATTTTAACGATGTTAATTTATTTGATAATTATGTAACGAGAGATGACTACACTTATTATATAGTCCAAGATCTATAAAACCTTTTAATGAATTAAATAGATAATAATATAGTTTTACGGGTGTAGATGGTCTTTCTAAGATTTTAATAAAATGAATATTCAAAATCTACGTAAAAAATAGTCTGTTTGATTAAAACTCAATCAAATAAGGATTTAATTTCGATAGACAAAAGTTGATATGAGAGTATCGGACATGCTGATTCTAAAATAAAATACAGTTTTAGGGTATTTATTTGTATTATTGTTGGCTGGCTTAATTAGTAATGGGAATAAACAAGTGATCCAAGCATTAATAACTTGGTTGAGATGTCTAATCGACCCAAAATACTGCACCATTAATATATGTCAATTTCATACAAGATATGACCTTTTAAAAGGAGAGAAGAAAGGTAGTTAACCACCCACTTTCAAGTATTTCTTGTTAAAGCCGTTATCCAACCAAGGCAGAAAAAAAGGAAATTTTTCTAAGATATGTTCAATTTTTTTTTTTTTTTTGGCTTATAATATATTATATTATAAGGGTAAGAGGCAATGTCGACACATAGTTAGTTAGGTCATGAATCGAAAATTAACCTACTAATTACAATGCTTATAACTCAAGTTTTGGAGGATTATATGATTGGACAAGAAACTTTTTCAATGTTGGTTAGGACCTTTTTAACGAAACCAACAGATGAATGGATAAAGCGTAATTTGAAGTTTTAGATCACTAAGTTGTCTTGCTCTTGAAGAACTAGCTCTCTTTTAGGGTTTTTGGTGCTGGATGTTACGTACATGTTAAGAGACTTGTATTTTTTGAAGCGTTGGTTGGAAAATCATAGGTTGCTTCTTCGATATGCATCACATAGTTTTGCAGAATGTTGGTAATTGTTTAGAGATAAATTGAGATACAGAAATGATCGAGCAAAATATGACATTTTGCAAATTTGTAATGTTGTGTTATCGTTATCGTCTCTTTTCAAATTAAATTAAAAAAAAGATTGCGATAAAGAATTTTTTTATAAAAGCATAAGTTCAAATATGGATGATATGTTTTAAACCTGATTAAAAATGAATCTGATAAACAAAAAACGACCAAAAATGCCAAAAAAAAAAAAAAACACCCTAATACTTTCAATATCATATATTGTTAGATGAAAATATTAGTTAACTTGAGAATATGATAAGAACAAAAAAAAAAAAAAGAAGTATTTGAGAAGTAATTCTATACAGGTTTAAATTATTATTATTATTATTATTATTTAATTCTCTCTTTTATTTTTTTCTAATTCTTTTTGTGTGTTTCTTTTCTAATAATAACTCGTGAAGTACTCTAAAATTTTCAATTCTCACTATAAGCATATAATTAGTCATATTTATTTGTTAACGATACAAAACTTGAACTTATTTGGTTAAGATTAAAAGAAAGTTTGATAATTGCTTAAAAGCTATGCATGTTCTGGTATTAATTTAGTTCAAAAAATGATGAATTTGATCTCGATTAATACAAAAATTGGCTCGAAAATGTCTCACTACTAATATATATATATATAAAAAAAGGTACTCTAAATTTTTTCGAACATAAAAGTTAATTTATGCATTAATTTAAAGAGTTGGTGGGAACTTAGTGGAAATTAGAGTTGTAATTGAGTCATCAGCTACTACTCCATGTTTATCTTCCAATTCATTCACTAGCTAGCTCACTACTTTCGGATTATGTGAATCTACCCAAAGACAGAACTGATAGCTGAATCGAGTAAGCCTAACATGAGTTGAAAATAAACCTCAAATTCATATCTAGATCAATAATCCTAAAAAGCTTGGTCTAAATTTCTAAAAAAGATATGTTTTTTTATGGCTACATTGGATTTTAAGCATTTTGCTTTCCAACCTTGTATTAAATTGCCAAATGAAATTAACTACTGTGTGACCAAAAACAGGTAAGAGACTAAACCAATTGGCAGTTTAGTACTAGATTAGGGAAACTACAGAAAATGTGAAAGCTGAACAAACATGAGTAAATTATAAAGTAGCCTCTCTAATTTTGTAAAACGAATTAAATAGTCCCTCTTGTTTTGAAATTTAATTAACTGATCCTTATTTTAAAAAATTTATTTATAACTTAATCTTTTTTCAAAAAAATAAGAAATAGAAAAAAAAAGATAAGTAAAAAGTATTGAAAGATTGATGAGAAAAAAAGACATTTATTGAAATAAAATAATATTAAATTAATTACGATCATCACTAATCAAGAGACTAATTAATTAATTTTAGAATGAACAAGACTATTTACTTAGTTTTACAAAACTAGAAGGACTAGTTTGGTGGCATAATAAGTTGCATGTCGGCTGTAGCTATGGAGTTTGATGACGGGAAGGTGACGAGGGTAGTATGAGATCAAGAAATAGCTGTTGTGGGCAGGCACAATTGCGAGATTGCATCCAAGACACAAGTTCTTCTAAGTCATAAGCTAAGCTGTAAGAAAAAAATTTTAGCCAAAACTAACCATTGCGTTCAGCCTTTTTTTTTTAGAAAAATAAAAATATGAAAGAATTAGTTTAATGGTAAAAATTAAAGACAGTAAATTAAAATTTGTATCCCTTTCAAATTTTAAGTTCAAAATTAAAAAAAAAATCTAAAAATTATTAAGTCAAAAAAATTAGTCTCAAGTTAAAATTTTCGTATCTTCCAATTTAAGGTCCAAAAATTTTAAAAATATATAAATATTATTTTACACATGTCAAGCCAAAATATGAACAACTTTTGATAAAATTGCCTAAATTAAGCTCCATAGAAGCATTAACTATAAAGAAAAAATGTATTTGGACAATATTTTGCAAAATAAACTTTAATTAGGAATACTTTAAGAGAAGTATAATTTTTTAAAATTTTAATCGCACAAATTTTTTGGATAAATACAAATAGAAAGCAAGACATTCTTTTTAAAATGAAGAAAATATTTTATTTCCATCAAAGTAAAATGATAAATTAGCCTTTGTTCCTTCCAATTTTGATACTCAAAATTATCCTTTGTTCCTTCCAATTTCTAGAAAGAAGTGAATTGGAGTGAATTATAAATTAGCCTCTTTCGTTTCGAGAAATAAATTAATTAATCATTCTAGTTTGAAAGATTAATTATTAATTATTTTTTATTTATTTTTATTTTTTGTTCTAAAAAAATAAATACATAAAAAGATTGACGAGGGAAAAAAACATTTTATTAAATAAAAAATATTAAATTAGTTGTGTTCAACACGCTGAAAAAAATTAAATAATTATTTTTTAATAATAGAGGACTAATTAATTATTTTCTTGGAATGAAAGGGACTAATTTATAATTTATTCAATTCAAATTGCTATAAAAGAGAGAGAGAGAGAGAGAAACTTTTTCTCTTCAAACAGATTGCAACCTTTATTAAAATGGCGTGATGGACCATGAACACCAAGAAGGGTCGATAGCCCAATGGAGGTTGTCAAAAGTCCATAAATTAAAAACAAAACCTGAAAGTAGGCCTAAATTACAAAACGGAAGCAGTCATTTGAAGGACAAGGCCTAAGCTAAAGCCCATACCTAAAGGGCACTGCTAGCCCATTCATGAGAAATTTGTCTTTCCTTCCTTGTTCTTATCAAGTTGAGAATGGAATGAAATTGAATAATGCTTGAGATATTTGGTATATGGATTGTTA